ACTGCTACTGTTACTGCTACTGCTAGTGAACAGAATGGTTCCGAAACTCGACTTGTTGGTAGGCGAGACATACTGGCATGTTGGAGGAAGCCGGCAAGAGGCATTTCCCCAACTCATCGCCGCATGCGCAACACTCAATATGAGGGTTTCTGAAAAGCACCACGACCACCGCCAACTCTACAAGAGCGTGCGGGCATGATTGAAAGCTTGGCAGTAGCCGACTTCGGACAACACTGTGCAACCGTCCTCAAGGACTCCCAGGCAAGCATCTTGTTCATGAAGCGCCTACTATTGAGAAATTGTCTTGCTTGATGCAGCTCTGTCCGAAATGATGGGATGGTTTGCCAGCCTTAAACTTAAATGGGAAGGAAATATACTTGACCGAAGCCGTGTACAATCCAACATGGTAACTGCATGGTGGTTCCGGCACTCTTGCTTTCCGTTTGCTGGATTTCTTGCTTTCCCAGCCAACAAGTTATTTCCACTACCTTGAAAGCGAAAAGAGGTCGTGTGAAAACAGCATTACTGAGAGAGAGACACAACCGGCGCATCAATCAACCCTGAGGGCTATCAAGAGCAAGATGCATCGGAGCAGCCCGTTGTGAGCTCAGCTGCCAGAAGAATTCTGCCGTGTCTCCGTGGATGACGACGCAGGCCACGCCGCAAAGCCCGGCAAGCCATGGAGTCTCAAGCAGCTCGGTGCCGGCCTTTTTTCATTCTGGATGTCTTCTTGTCCAAATCGTGCTGACTCAGGAGGGGACCCCGAGCGACATGAGGAAGGCAAAGGACGAACTAGGAAGAGCGGGCGAAAGAGCATCCAAAACTCCACAGGCACCTCGGATGAGCGATGTGAAGCAGCAGCCCTACCTTGGCTGTGTTACGGGAACCTCCCGGCCTCTGTGAAAGCTGGGCATTTGGCAGGAAAGACAAAGGAGAGTTGCCAGCTGTTGCTGGCGCAGAACGGAGGCAGCATGGGTGGCTTTCCAGATCCGTTTGGCGCTGAGCCGGACACCAAGGCCAGCTTCGGGGAGTTCTGCACGGGACTCTCTGCGGAGCCCACAGGGCACAAGTCCTCCTGCACCCAGCGTCCCGCTGTCATGTTTCAATGCGCTGCTGTCTGCAGCAAGTCGGCTCGACGATGATGATGATGATGATGATGACCATGATGCGAAGAACCCTTATTTGCGTAGCCGCTTCCGGCAGGTCCAGTCGACAATGGATCAGGTCGAGGCAAAAGCACGGTGCCGAGTTTCTGGCCACCGTGTTTGCAGCTGAATTGACGAGTAGTTTCGGACATTGTCCTGTTCACAAACCAGCGACAACCCCTTGAGAATCGCCTGCTCGCGCACATGTCGCTTCAGCGGCCACGGTGAACAATGCCTGCGTCTATCGAAGCCTCAAATTTAAATACCGTTTCTGACAGGGGTTCGAAGCTTTGGATTCCTGTATGCACTCGCGACACAACAAAGTCAGCGGCTGGTTTCTATCATGTCTCTAGTCGCTGCGCGAGATGCTGCAAGACTGGGTTGACTGCACAAGGTAAATGCCAGCACTGCTGGAGAGTGGGTGAACAAACTGAAGGCCAGGCACCTCCGGTTGGCGGCGATGTAAAGTCTAAAGTCTTCATCTACCATGGATGCTGTGCTCAGGCGCTACAGGATGTTGCCGACGAGCATTCCTCGTGCGCCTGAACTTCCTGCCGGTTTGACCAATGCCTACGGGAGGGCTCTGACTGCTGCTGGCTCCCCTCTGAGTGGCGCGCGGAGTGCGTGCAAGCGCGTCATCACCATCCGCTTCGCATCTTCCCGTTCCACTCCTGCCCTTCCCCTGCGGCCCTGCGCGCTCCCCTCATGGTCGTAACGTGGATAATCTCCGCTCCAATCTCACACCCATGAAGCTGGGTCGTGCTGGCGTGATTCCGGAAGATGCGGCCTTGCTGACTCGACGCGGCATTGCCGCCAAGAGCCAGATCCTGCCCCATAAGAGTCCTGATGCTCGCGAGGCTAGACAAGTTTCTCGGCAAAAGGCCTCAAGTAACCTAGCCAGCCACCTGAGCCCGCCAACGTTCTATCATGGTGTGGCAAAGCCACCAAAAGAAAACAGAAAAGTCGCCGGACGAAAGCTGTTTTCAACCCTCGGCGGAGGGCCCGAACAAAGCCCTGGTAAATGCACATGCCGATTTGTCGTCCTCTCCAGCGACCACACCCCGAAAGAGGGACAAGATATGTCAACCAAATTAGGGCGGCTGCTGTTGCTCATGCTGCTGCTCCCACTTCCAGGGACTTCCAGGGCTGCAGTTTCCCATAGGTGAAGAATGGTGAAGATGCGGAACCGCAGCTCACGCTGGGAGCTCTTGCTCCTCGTTTCGTCTGGTACTCTTGCCACAACCATCACCACCACCGACGTCGATCTGCAACTACCATTTGCAGACATGCCAGGCAGGATTATGGGCCACGTGGAGGACATGTTTCCTGAGGCTTCGATGGACTCACCAGTCTGCTCCCAGCAGCTTATCTCTGCTGCGCTTCAATCTTTGAAAGGCGCGAGAGTTCTCCAGTTCGACCAAGTCCAAGATTCTGGCCCCTTTTCTGCCAAGATTGCTGCTCCTTTGGGGCCTTGCATTGGCGACATGCTTCTGGCGAGGGTTTTTTCTTTCCAAAGCTTGTGAGGACGAAATCTACTTGCAGCTTGAGCTGCCGCGGTCCCAGCGCATGCACAGTTTCTTAGCCGCTGGGCTGGCGAATCGCTGCCAAGGAGCCGGGAGCTCCTGGAGCGACATGCCCAAGGCACTGTTGGACCACCTTGCAAGGACGGTCTTTGGATGCAGCGTCGCTATGCGCAGGCCTCATTGGGACGGACTTGGCCGAGCTCAAAATGATGAAAGCAGAGTGCGCCGGCCGAAATGGCGAAACGGCCTTTTGCTGCCTGTGCACCGGCTGCCTTTAGGGTCGGCTGTCTTTGCGCAGGTACAAGCGACTGGATGACAGGTTGGCGAGGTGGGCGACGCTGGGCGATGGTCTGATGCTCGGCGCATGTCGGCTTATACCTTGGGAGTTCCGCAGGATGAACAAGCTGTTTGCGAAGGAGGTGAGCAGTCTTCGACTCTCGGCTTGCAAGACTTCGGTGCCTTTGCGGGTGTGGCAAGCTTGTGACAAGGAGAGTTGCTCCAGAAGAAGAAAGAGGCACGTGCTGTGGGCTATGGGCCACGCAGAAGTCCACTTTGCCTGTCTGGCAAGCTCGCTGCACTCAGGGTGTGGTACCGACTGCTCCACCCAAGAGCAGCTACGAACCCCTCATGTTCATGGAGCCCGTGAGGTGCTTGGTTTGTCCTCTTGTCCACGCGAAGCATCGCGAAGCCATGTTCGAAGAACACGCGAAGCGGGCCTTCCGAGGCTCAACGGGGTTGGTTGCTTGGTCTTCTCGAAGAGAAGCTGGAGGCGTGGCTTCTTACGAAAGCTCGTCTTTTGGAGCTTTCGGGAGTTAGTGTTTGCAGAAGGGTTTAAGGGCCTTGCTCCTGATAAACACCAGGGACATCCAGGGACCTTACTGCAGGGTTCTTTTCCGATTCCTGGTTGACAAGCATAATCCTCAACGAGTTTGTAGGAGTTTAGTGCATTGAGCAAGGACGGGAATGAGTTTTTGCCATGCAGCGTTCAGTGCAGGCTTGGGTTTCCTGACAACGCATGCGGACACAGTTTTGCGGACACAATTTCTCTCTCAAACGTGATTGGATAGCAGCTTGCCTAGCAGTTGGCAACACGGCATACAAGGAGGAATGCATTAATCACATTCGCTTACCGTCCAGCTGTTGTCTTCTCTGCTCTCAAGTCTACAGAGTCTACAACAATCTAGACGTGCGTTGCTCGGGACGTCACTGCTGCTCCTTGCATCTCCCGGTTCTGCAAGTTCGGGCTGGACAAGCCTTCACACAAGCAACAACAAGTTCACCAATAAGGGAACTGCCAACGTGAGGGACCACCAAAGTTGTGGTAGCCGGTTGCAGCCATGGCACAGCCATCAAGCTCAGCAGGCTGGTTCTCACACTGCTAGAGTTGGCATCGCACCGTCTCGCCAGCACACGTGCAGATGAGTCAGGCGCGGGCCCCTTGTTTCGAACCCGCCCTACAAGCAGCGTGCCGAGTGACGGCACTGTGGCTGACATCTTGGACGCGCGTGCCAGACGTCGAGAGGCGCGACCTCATTGCCGAATGCACAAGTACGCCCGTTTGTTTACAGTGCTGGGTTGCTTGCAGCAGGCCTACAACTCCCGAAGGAGCAGCTGTCCACAGATTCCTTGCAGGACATCCGCTGTACGATTCGCATCGTCGCAAGTGTCACAATGACTCAGATGTTGGATTTGTTGGTCGCCAGCCACTAGGGAATGTAGCCATGTGATCTCATTCGTGCGGAATTGGCACAAAGGTGCGAAAGCAAGCCGCTGGTGTTAGTATTTCCTGAGCTTCGGGCCCATGGCATCCCACATCCGATACAGAGCTGTAGGCCTTTCTTGTCCTTGCAGCAACAAGCCGCAGCAAAGAGGAAGCACTCCAGAGCGCAAAGCCCCCTCAAGCTACGCAAAGTGCAGCGCGGCAAGCGACCGCTGTCTTCGTGATTCGGCTCAGCAAGCTGTGGCAATCACACGCCGGCACCGATCGCTGGACGTAGTGGGGCTCCAAAGACCCGTTCACGAAGAGCGTCGGTTGCAAAGCGAGATTTCGCAATGTCCCCCAATGGAATGCACTTTGTGCAGGAGCCAAAGTTCGCTCAGTGTAGTGGAAGTTGCTGCGGTCTTACGCTTCTGCTGAATTCGCGATGTAGCGCGGATGTGCATCTGCATGCGACAGCAACACAGGTGCTTTGCCCGCTTCTCCTTTGTGCATGTATGCTCGATGCTCAGTCCTCGGGATCGCTACGTCGTGCCAGAATCACAGGCCTTGGCACGATTCCTGCAAGGCTCCGAGCCATTTTCCATCTTCTTTGGACTAGCCTGACAGGATTGTGGCTTCGCTCATCGGTTAGTTCTTGTGAGAGTCACCAGCGTGAAAGCACACGCTTCAGGTTGCACTGCATGATGCACCTACACTTCCTGCTTGGAGCTGCGGCAGCTACTTGCCGATCCAAAGTCAAAGCCCCCCTACGCCCTGTCTCGGGACTCTTGCTATACCTGACCGATGCAGAGGCTTTCGCAGTGATTGCTGCTGCTTCTTGGCAATTGTGCATGGAGGTTGGGCTCTGTGTAGTTTGGGCCTGAAGTTGGCACTGATCTGCGAACCATGCCGCAGTGTCAGGTTCAGGCGCCTGCACCGTCCGTGCACGTCGAGCTGCCCTCAGACTGCCTTTTGAGATCTTGGAGCAAACACCGAAGCATTCCAGTTTCGTTGGATGCAGAGGTTTGTAGAGCCGAGTCGCCTACAGCTCTGCAGGTGCTGCTTCTGCTTCGTGCTTTAGCATTGTCGGTCCTACAGCAAGCAGGTTCGAGACGTAGCGCGAACCCTGAGTATGTCGATTTCGCAGGCGACCCAGTTGAGGTTTCAATGCATGCCAAGCCCAGACCCAATCTGAGCGAAAACAAGGCTGAATTGGGCGTGGTTGACAAATATCGTGAGCGAGTGGGGTCCCCACTCTGGCGGGAGCCAATCGCAAAGACTTTGATCGCCTCTCTCCGTTAAGCCTGACGGGGCAAGGCTTGAGCATCGAGTTTCACAGCTGCTCTTACGTGGCCAGTGCCCGCGAGCATCTTGGATGGGTCGGGTACAGTCAACGCCACTGGGTGCCAAACGTCTTAGGTACCGCACTCCTGACGAAGCACGAGAAGCTTGTTTGTCTCGCAGCAGCCTTTCCTGGTCTAGCAAAGTGCACTCTTTGTACCTACCGACACTCTTTAGGGCCCTGTCAACGAAATGAGGCCCTGATTCGCTGGTGCTGCGCCGGGCCAGCGACTGCTCCACCCTGCGTTGCACAGCTCAACGCTCAAACTCTCAAGCCTGGTCTTCGGCCATGAAAAACCCAGGCAAAGCATACTACGACGGCCAGAAGCAGGTTCATCCAGTGGTGTGCTTACAGTTGACATCAATGTCAAAGCCGGCCCATCTCGAGTCGATTGGCATTACAGCTATCAGGACAGGCTACGACTCCTGCATCCAGCGTGCGACACAAAAGTCTTGCAGGCAGTCGAAGCTGATGCTGACAATACTTGTGTTGCTGATCCTTGTTGCCACATCAGCTCGGTTTGGACACTGTGACATGCGCTCGCTTGAGTTGCGGTCCGTTGCAATGTAGTTCAGGCGTGCAGCGTCGCTCTGAATCTGGCCTTTGAGCACCGGCGAGCTGAACTTGGCTGCCCCGCCCGCTAGAGATGCGCTGCAGACATGTCGCGGCAGACAGAGCGCGCACTCAATGCTTCTGCGACCATCACGTGGCATGCGCAATGAGTCGCGGACTGCGCGCAGCATGGCAAAGCCGAGCAGGCTCTCTTGGAAGCGAATCCTGACATCGAGCGCAGAGTCAACACCTCTGAGCTCGCACGCCTGCGGGAGTGCTGACATGCGGGCTTGTGCGTTGCTCTGTCCAGGATGTTACGAAAACTGTGGCAGCCCTTTCTGTTCCAGGATCTCTTCAAAAAAGAGCAGCAGAGCTCGTTGGAACGGAAAGTTGTCCAGCTCCGAGCCTGACGGTTAAGGGAATCCTCGCAAAGTCTAGGCCTCGGCTTCAAGTCGCTAGAAGTCGCCAGGCCAAGCTCAACGAGGAAGATCAGGCGGCAAGGCCTGGCAGCCTAGCATCGCTCGACCTCCGAAGCGACCATAAGCGACCTGCGGCCACAGGAAGCAGATTGCTGTCCTGGAAGCCTACAACGAGAAGTTGAAGCTGGAGATAAGAAAGGCATCGCAAAACCTCTGAGTGGGAAGTTTATGCAAGGATGCTTCTGATTGCGACAGATTGATGATAGCGGCTCTTCGACTTCGACCTTGGTGGACCCGCACCTAAGACCAGCATTGCATTGGACTTTGCCCTGCCTTCAGCGCCTCACGGCTACCATACTGAAGTCTGCGAGAGCTTACAGTGGCGTACTCAACAAGTAAGCGAAACCTGAACTCGAACGGCTCGAACAAGCCAGAGACGAAAGTGCACCTTCCCAGTTCCCCCAAGAACCAAAAATCTGGTAGACAGAGTGGCATTCCCTAGCATACTTGTTTTTTAATAGGGTATGCCTTTGAATAATGAACATGTTTAAATCATGGCAGTGGCAGTGTACATGAAACCTTCGTGGTTCTCTTTTGTCGGCGAGGACGGGCTAGCGCCCGACGGCAGTTCAAGCCTCGTGGTCGTGCGCCTTGTCTGCACGACACAGCACAGCCAAGGAAGGGGGCATGTCCACACCGTCCACAGCCAAGGAAACAGACTTCCGGCTCGAGTGCTGCAATGTCACCTCCTGCTGGCAAGCCCAAAACTGGTCGGCCGAAGAGGCTGGGCACGACGAGCTCTGTATGTCCGCCCACGTTACGCGTGTGCGCACGTTGACGTTGGGTGTTCTGCGCAACCTGCCCGGGAGGGACTGGGAAGGGGGGCAGGCGGGTAGGGAACATAGTAGATCTCAGTGTCGGATGATTTTCTGCGTTCTCAGGGGCGCAACCTTCACAAGAGCTGGCTCTGGTGAAGAAGTTGCAGCTCAGGCTGGGATCTGACGCCTAAGATCCTATAAGGCTTGACATCAGATGTAATTCACTGGTCCGCATACCTGAAGCCCTGCAGGCGGCGCCTGAGTTCTTGCAACTCCCCGAAGGCTCCTAAGGAGCCTGTCGGCATTGTCCCGGCAATCAAAGACCACGCAGTTCCAACAAAACTGAGTTGCAGCTGCCTAGCATATCCTAGCACCTCAAGTGCGAAGGAACGCTAATCCAGCTTCATGAAGCACAGCGCTCATGTTGCAGGTTAGCATGAGTTTCAACAATCTTAAGTTTGAGAGAGCTGGCGAAGTGCTGGCCGGCCCAAGAAGCACAGCTTCAGCATGCTTCAGCTTCCACAGGTACGCCTCCCCGCAGGCACCGCTCCATGCTCGCCAGAACGCCATAGAATGCCGGATCCCTGCTTTGACGACTGAAACTCGCGCGACCAGTTTTTGACTCGCAAGGTTTGAATCATTTTGCTTTGAACTGGGCCTTCCACGAGCCAAAGTACCTCGCTTGAACTAGAGACGCGGCAGTGACAAGAGCGTAGAGCGCCAGACGTGTTGTAACAGGTTTCCAGCGCTTCAACCCTTCGCGGGGCAGTACATCGAGGTGCGCTCAGGGTGCGCTTTCCAACTTTCTAATGCAGAAACCCTACAGCTTCCGAACAGCACTCATGGAGTTTAGCAGAGTTGCTTCACATAGAATTGTTTGAATCTTCAGGCTGCCTTCGTGCACAGGTGCTCGGCGTGCTCGCGAATGACCAGGATGCCAATGTTCTCAAAGATGTTTGCAAAGGTTTCGTGTGCCTCAGCTGTGACCAGCCGACCAGACTCCGAAAAGTTCATGAACGTCCTCATTTGTCTGAAGGTGCGTCATCGAAAACCAGTGGTCTTGCATCACAGAGCATCTAGCAAACGTGGTGCTACAGCACGGAGCCTAATGATGGCTGAAATGCAGCCACCATGATCCCTGACTGCAAAAACAATCCGCCACACAGGTACATGCTGAAGGCATGTAAGCATCCTGAGTACGTCGTGCGGGTTGAGGCTCGCAGCAAGCCTGCAAAAGTTACGTGAAAACTGATGACACCGCGAGGCGCTGGAGGTTTGGACTCCATGCACGAACTCAGCCATGCTTGTTCAGTGCGCTTCACCCTCAGCCTGCCTGGCCTGCCTGGGGCTGTGGGCCCCTGGAGACTGAGCTCACTGGCCGAGGTTTGGTCGCTGCTGAATGATCTGATACCCGTTTTGTTAGACAACATGGCACTGCGCTCAACGGGGAGATGAGGAATTCAGATTTGCGCACGACGCCATGTCCTGGCGAAGGTCTATTCGCAAGCGGACTACTTGGGCCCTGCACTCGTTTTCGCGAAGTTTGTGCTGTGTCTCTGAGGTTTAGTAGCTTCCTTCCTTGCCTCATGCCCCCAGGAATGGACAACGACATCTTTGAAGATGACAATGCAGCTGTGCTGGCCTGAGCTGCCTCATAGCTTCCCACGGTTTCTGGGACGCCGGTGTGCATTCCCATGGCATCTCAGGTCCCGGATGATACCCAGGACGAGCTGTTCCGGCAATGCCAGCATCAAACCAATGAGATGTGGCCTGCAGGACATCAAACCTCGGACTCACAAGGTGTTGTCCATCCCAGCTAGGGCTGCGAGCCTGCTGAACTTCTGCCCTGCCTTCGAACTTCCAGCGAGGCTTTTCAGAGAGAGTGGTATGCAGCGAGCTGAGGCTCAAGAGCAACTTCGCATTACAGCTCCACTCAGCCTGATTTTTGGCTTGGTTAACTGGTAACAGCTATGGGAGAAGGAAGAATATCAAGGCGTGTCATGTCCAACCACCGCTCAGTGCTCAAACATTTCACAGAACCGGTTGTGTTGCAAAGTCGAGCCTTCCGCATGTCGAAGCAAGACCAGCAGTGACCTCTGCAGCAGCCCTGGCGGGGACTGCAACTCTGCATGGGATAGGACGCCGCCTCTCAGCCTCAGCGACTGCCTGAGGCATGTGCGCCCATGGCGAGACGGAGCCGAGGACGGGGCGACTCCGGGGCCGAAGCCCCGAGGCCGGTGCAGGGCTCTGCAGGGCTCCTTTCAAGGGACAGCGGGGCGTCGAAGTCGAAGTGGAAGTCTCGCAGAAGCTTTTGCTCAAGTTAGTAGAAGACCCAGTCATGGCAGCAGCCGCTGCCAAGCAGATAATGCCGCCGACCTCAAGTTGTTTTTGGTTGTTGTGGTTACTGGCACATTCCAGCACCTTGCTGTGGGCCCAGGTCTGTTACAAAGAGTGCGGCAAGCCGTCTTGGCACGCTCATGGCAAGACATACCGATCCCAACACCATCGGTGTGCGAGTCGGCCTGAGGCAGTGCTTGTGCGATGATTCCCTTGAAGCACTACCGCAGCACTTGCGCAGGCAGAGAGGCTGCAACGGCATGTCGTATACCATGGATCTTGTCTCAGCCGTGGCAGCGGTAGCTGATCCTGCATGTGCAGCCGATGTCTCGCTCACAGCGCTCGCTCCTACAAGGATTACACGGACAAGGTCAACAAGTTTGACGAGGCCAGCAATGCCGGTTCAAGTCGGTCGTTGAATTTACAGACTTTGGGCCTTCCTAGGTTGTGGAAGCTGATGGAGGCATTAAAGTCGTAGTTGACTCAAAGGCCGTGTGCGACCAAGTGCCCAGGGCTCCGAGACACATGTGTGTTGTTTTGTTGCTCAATTTGCTTGTTTTCGGGCCGCGTCTTTGGAAACTGCGTCTCAGGTTATGTTCCTGATAGGCACGGAGATGGACTTCGTGAGCAACGAGGTTGGCAACGAGTTACTGCCTTAACATGGCCTGGAGGGTACTGCCTGCCGCGTTTGCACTTCATGGAGCTCAGGTTCGTGTTTAACAACCCCAACAAGAAGTCAGAGTGCGGCTGCGGGCAGAGCTTTAATGTTTGAGGAGGCTGGAGATGCTTCAGATGCAGTCTCCCTCTCTCTTTCTCTGTAATTCTCTGTACCCTCTCACTGCTAGACATGACAGGCAGTTAGGGATTGGAGAGCACGACGCAGTTCGGTTGTGAGGTCGGCCTTGGTGCATGATGCCTCCGCGATGCCACCTGTGTCGCAATTTGGCGCACTGTACAGGGTACTGACTCGTCGCTGCTTGAAATCACCGGCAGAGCCATTGGTTTCCAAGCTCGGCTGCCTGACAGAAGTCAGCCCGAGAGTCAAGACACAAACTGAACCGAATCTGCAAAAGAGCGGCATGGCAGAGTTCCGCATGGTGTCGCCTTACGTTTGGCCACATCTGAGCTCACGTCCAGGGCCAAGAAGCTCCGTGCAGCGGGCCAGCAAGAGGCCCGGGAAGCTGCACAAATTGCCTTTGCTAGCTCCTGTTGATACTGTCTCAACAGGTGAGAGGTGTGCTTGTGATGGTGTCCTCTCGATTTCGCAGCTGCGACTTGCGATATGGCCTGAGATGGGGACATACTCCTGCGGCAAGAGAGAGATCAGCCACATGCAGTCATCAGCAGTCTGTCTAGAAGCACACAGCATCACAATCCACAGAGCGCAGCAGATTCTTGGACTTAACACTTTTGGGCATGCATCCGTCCGCGAATGGCGGCAGCACCAGAACAAGGTGCATCGCCACACTTACCAACCTGCCCTTGTGGCTCGACGCTTGTAGAGGCAATATCGTGAATTCGTTGTCCTGATTGCACCTGCAAGTTTTGACAACGAAGCACCGCTGTCCGACGGAGGCCGTTGACGGCTCGAGCCTTTCGTTCATCAAAACAATCCACTCGAAGAGCTGTGCATTTCGAGTCGAGGAGGTGAGCAAAGCCTTGTGAAATCGTTGTATCAACAGAAAACAGCAGCGGCCGCTTCACTGCAGCCATGGTCATACCTATTCCAGGAGGCGCAGAAATTAAATGTGATCGCTGAACGAGTTCCACCCCCTTTCTGTTCTGAGGTATAGGAACGCCTTTGATGGGTCCTCCACCAGCCATCGTCGCCCAGAAGTTCAAGGCGTGCTGCGCTTTCCTTCGATAGCTTGCCTACGCGATGCGTGTGCAGATCATCAAAGCCTGCATTGTGATTATGATCGTGCATCTGGTTTGCACCTGGGGCATGTGCAACATGCGATTGCACTTTGCTCTTCGTGGAGTGCCTTGTGCACTCAGGTGCACCTGTGGTCAGCTTCTTGCAGGAGCACTGTTGGGGGAGCTTGCGTCTTGGCTTGGATTCGTCATTGCACCGCTTTTTGCGGCAAGACCTTAACTGGCACGGCGGCAATTGCAACCCTAACTGGAGCTGAATGATGAGCCTTGCGACCCGTTACCTAGACTCTAAAACTCAAGCATTTCGCTTGGGCTACTTAGACTTCGCTCCCACGGAGGAGGGCAGAGCCTCTCGTGCAGATGGAAGGGGGACGTTATGCAGCCGAAACAGAGCGATTGGATAGTAAGACAACATCGTGGATACGGCTTCTGCTTTCCACTTCTGGGCTGCATCGGATGACTTGTTTTAATAGCGTAACGTCGTGGATGTTGTTTGTCCCAGCCATTTAGCTGCCCCAATCGGATCGAACTAGCATGGTTGCAATTGCAATTACAGCTGGCGACTTGCATGCATGTTGACTCTCAACCGCCATCTGCCAAATCCAGGGAGACGCGCTGCTGTCATCCCTGAATCTGATTCTGAACACGTTCATCGGTAACCCAGCGATCTTAGCTGTATGTGTCGCGACATTTAGTCATTTTCTGGTGGCTTTGCATGCGGGCGTCAAGGGATGCAGTCGAACACAAAACTTGCGTCAGGTATTTGGATGCTGAAGGATGACCCACTCATCGGAAAGATTTTCGACTTTCTGGCGAGGACCGGGCACAACATTCCAATACGTAGCGGGTCTGAGCAACTGGTCCCCCGAAGTATCGGGTAAAGATGCTACATTGGCAGCAGACATGACAGACGGCGCTGTCAACAAATCGAAGCCGCAGTTTCATCGAGAGAAGGAGGGGTGGTATGAAATGTGTGTGTGTGTGAGTAACAGCAACGGTCGAAGTATGCGCAACCAGCTCGGAGGAACCGCATTTGGGATGCCTGTGGTGTGAAGTTTCCGGTATTGTGAAGTGACCCAAACGTGTTGAGTTCTGGCAGGAGCTGCTGTGGGACATGCGCAGAGCAATGCCAGGGAGGCATGACATGCCTCATGCCCTTCATCATTTGCGCCCTGTCAGAAGGGGCGCTGCATGTGGGATGTTTCAGGCCCTGGTGTTGGTACGTAGGTTTTTGGAAGGAAGTTTTGCAAGACTCTCCAGATCTCTCCAACATGTCTTCCTCTTGCCTTCACGAAGGAACGGTTTACTTCAGGTGTCACGCAACCTGGGAAGGTCAGAAAAAACAACTCAACAAGGTTGACCCACAAAAAAGGAATAGTTCCGTGGCGAGCACAGCTGCAACTACGACCAAGAGCTGGACAAACTTTCAACTGCCGCAAGCTGCAATAAGCTGTGGCATGGCCAACCACCATCATTTCCGACATGTCCGGAAGCCAAGAGGCGGCAGTTCAGAACATGGGCGACTTCTGACTTCTGCCGATCTTGAGCATACAGCTCCAGAAACACCCGTGAACCAGGCCGTTGTTTTCGAATTTCCACGACCTTTTGGGAGGGCTCCATGAACACTTCCGCGAAAACTTTCAACACACTCCTCGTAAGCCAAGCTCAGCGGCGGATGCTGTGGGCGAACTGGAACAAGCACACAAATTGGCGGCGCCCTGCCGCAGCCGATCGACACAAGGCCGAACCCCAGGAGTGAGGAGCCTGCGCCCACTGACAAGAGGATATCGGAGAGCCTTTTAGAGGCCTGAGGCGTGCAACGAAGCGGTGGCATTCAAATACAAGAAAACCACCGGGTCTGCGCTTGGCACATCTGGAAACTCTACCATTCTGAGTTTGCAGCAGTGCGAGACAAACAACAAACATGAGGAGCAAGCATGTGTGGTACTTCAACCGCTCGATATCGCTTAAGGCTAAACTAAAGGGTCAGCACGATCCGTCGGCGTTGTTTGCGCACTGAGGCAATATCATCACGGTGTTGCTCCAGATCATCCTTTCGTCAGAAATACAGCATCTGGGCCTTGTCGTACCTGTTACACGAAAATATCCCGATACCCCGTCGCAGCAGTGGAAATGCTTTGCATGTCTGATCCGATGGTGATTCCAGTACAATTTCTGGCCTTTTTCACTGCTCATGCAAGGCTCATCATCAAGGATTTTAAGGTCATGCTGAACTCGGTATCATTTTATGCCACTCAGCGAAGAGGTGTGATGACACTTCAGACTATGGTGTGTTTCAGCCGCCGGCAGTCAAGGATGCATTCCGTGTGTGGCTCCTGTTGGTGTCGACCGTGGGAGCGCTTCTGGCACAAATCATTGGATCGATCTACGGCTATCTGGCATACCGAGAGGCCACGAACGCTACACTCGTGCGCAGGGTTTAGAGGCGAGTAGAATCTAGAAGTACAAGCATGTACGCAATGATTCGGTTTGCGAATCTTGCAGTAGCCCGGAACTCAGACTTGCCCGTGACGTCGAGCACATCAACTTCACTCACACGTGTGCAGTTTGCGCATGTGTCGGAGATGATATTTTGGTTCGGCTCTCACTTCTACTCCTCATGTTTCTTTCGCCTCATCCCCATGTTCAGCATTTGATCTCGATGTGTGCAGGTGCGGGATTCTGGAGTTACGATGTCGGGTGGAGACTGGAGCAGTGGTGGCACAGCCTACCCGCAGGCCAGGGACGGGTCACCCGAAGAGCGAAACTCATGCCTTTGTCTAAGGCACGTGAGTCAAATGATGAGAGGGACTCGAGACCAGCCGCTTCACGGCAGCATTCGAGTGCAGTGTTAAAGGGCTTTCGTCCGGCAATCAGCGGAGGGACGACGGAAGCGGAGGGACGGAAGGGACGGGAGGGAAGGGGGGGAAGGCTTGTAAGCTGGTCTTAGGACCAACCATGCAAACACAACTGAGGCGAATTTCCAAGCCTTCCAGGGAAGCGGTAACCGTCTCGGTGGTTGACTCAAATCTTGAGGGCGTTTCACCAAAGTGATACAAGGATACCATCAAGTGGCCGAGAGGGGCTGCTTCCCCGTTGAGATGCCAGAACAGCGGCATCACAGCTGACTTCGCTGCTTGGGCGGTCACAAGGCACTGTCCAAACGACAGTTGCAGGCAGCCCCATTTCCAAATCCATTCCTGTCAGCCTTGTGCTGACCATAGGCTTTAACGATGTTCAAAAGAATCCACAAGCTGTCTTCATCGCCGACAACACGTGGCCCTGATAAAACCTGCTTGATGCCCTGGTGAAGATCTAGGGTCTCGCTGATTCTCACTAAACAGATTGACGCAAGGCGTCTGAAAGAGTGTAGAGACTGTGATTGTGCCTTGTACTTCGCTGCATTCGTGTGACTAATGTGCCAGGCCCCGCGTCGCATCAAAGGCTGAGTCCAGCTGCTGTTCAAACGCTAGCCAGGATCCCAGGTCTCCGGTTTTTGCATTGGGCAGCGCTTTGCGAAATCCCTACTCAGGCTGCCTGGTGTATCACGTTCTGGCAAGACGACTCGTAGACTGCGAACTCGAAAAGAATCTACGGTGAAGTTCCATTGATTTGATCGTATTTGCGTAGCGTTTCAGCCTCCACCTGCGTGCAGTGAGTTGCATTCTCCAGATGAAGCATTTTGCTTATCCGGGAGGATGGCAAAGAGGAGGAGGACGACGATGACGATGAGGAAGCGGCAAAGTTCGTTCATCCTATTGATGAGGCAAGTGCAGCCACTGTAGCCTCGTCGAAGCAGCACTGCAGCACGTCGAGTTTTCAGCAAGATGTGTCCCGCAAATGCGTAGGTTGGTGACCACAACTTAAACGATGACGAGAAAGCCTGGATTCAGCAGGACTCGGATGAAGTTCGGTGCTGAGAATTTGCATGACCAAGCATTTCATCATGAGACTTATCTCTCGTTGCAGCATGAGGGCGACATGATCTTCCAGCTGGAGACTCTTCCTTCTCTGGACAATGATTGTGACGGAGAGGAGGAAGTTGAAACTGCAGGCTCCCACGGCCGAGACACAAAGTGCAGACAGTGCGGAATCCCACTGCAGCTCCTGTGCTTCGCAAAAGCTCCCTGCCAGACGGTTTCAACGTGTGGATGAGGAAGTTGGAGGACAGTGCTCTAATGTGTGGCATGATTCAAGGATGTGCGCTCAATGCCTTTGTAGCAAGCCCCTTCTTTCCGACATCTTCTCGCTGCCACGCATTCATACTGGCTCAAGCGAAGCCCAATCGGTGGGCCGAGCACAATGAAGAGAACTCTGCCTCAGACTTAGCACGAAGCTTCCACTCCGTTTATCCCGAACCAAGCATAGCCTTTCATGTCTGCTGCCTTGGCACTGCTTTCAGATAAAATCTTTCAGCGGCAAGTGAAAGCTGACTGCGACGAGTTCTGCGATGAGTTCGACAGACAACTTCTCAGCCGTTGGCCCGACCTCTGACGCTGACGAATACACTAAGGTCAGGTTGGTTGCTGGTGCTGCTGGCAGCGGCCTGAATTGCGGCTTAGGGAAACCTTCGGACTTTGAGATATCCAGGATGAGGGACGACCCCCCTTGGCGTGACGATGAGGCTGTTCCCGCCTGCTCCTTGTCCACCGCAGATCTAGCTGGGCAAGCTCCAAAAAGCAGAGCGCAGAGGCAGAAGATGCAACAATGCGATTTGATGTCCAACGCTCAACTCGCTCCGTGCTGGAAGGCTGGAGCTGCAAGCCCAAAAGTACGAGAGAGAGGCAGAAGATGCCGAAGCAGAGGCTGCCGTGCACCAAGCACTCAGCAAACCGACTGGCTCTTCTCCTCACCCCAGCCTCTGATCTAAGGCACAGTGGGCCCGAAGGGCAGAGAACGCCGCAACAGACGCCGGCACGGTGAATGAGAAAGTCATGACCGCCACGAGCCCAGTGAGCCCAGCACGTGAGATTTGGCTTTGCCGTTTCTGCATTGCCGTCGCTGCAGGCCATCCGCAAGCGTCCCGTGCTTGACTGGGCCAAAGTCCCAGACAGTTCTGAGCGACTCTGGCGACTGTATGCACTTGCTGTATTTCAAGTTTCAAGCGGGCATGTTTGTGAGGTTCAAGCCGGTGGCCGTTTCAAGCGGCTCTTGAAGGACTGCCTGGCGTGCGCTTCGCCGGCTTGTGGACTATAATGATATTCGCTTTCCTGACAGGATCCTGCGCCCTCACAAGCTTCTGAGGTCGCTGGAGAGGCTGTCGCGCCGTACGTCAAGGTCCATTTTGCATCGCGGTCTTGCTGCTTCCTCAACAAGGGGCCACGGACGGGCAATGTGAGTGGTTGGAGGCAGAGCTGTCGTACACGAAGTCTCAACTAGACTACACCAAAGCTGTGCGAGACCAAGTGGATGGTACATGAAGTTTGGGCGATTTCTGATGAAGCAGCCTTCAGTGGGTTCTTGCCGAGGTAACTGCCGCGAAGCTTTAAGGGTGGTGCCGTCTGAGCAAGCGAGTATGCACAAGCTGAACTTTGGCATGAGGCTGGTTTCGTCGTCGCCACCAACAGGGTAGCCGCACAGACGTTTGATGTCTGAACGCTTAAACGAAACGGATTCAATTGATGAATTCGAGGTTCTGCATTCAGAAAGTGAGCAAGCGGTGGTTTACACATTGCATTACAAGTTGCTTGAGCGACGCGAGCTCCCAAAACACTAAATTAAACGCATCAGTTAAACTCCTCGGAGCCAGCGCGAACAAGAGCCGATAACTTGTTCGCTGGTTCTGAGGGTCTATCATGCCCAGATGTCTCAACAGTTTTGCTAACCCTTTAATCAAATTGAACCGATATCGAAAATTTGGACAGGAATCATTTGTTCAATTGTCACTTGACGGAGCCGAGGTCTTACACCCCTTTCACTGGCGCCCGCTCCGCCTATTCTTTTCTCGATGCCCTCAATATCCTTTGAAGCCTCCTCATTCCTTGTCCATCTCCGAGGCATCGGCATGGAAAGCCGAGGCCAGCTCCACGGAGCAAGCCATGAGAAAGCTGCAGGCACTGCGGCTCGTGGCTTTGTGCGTGGTTTAGCCTATAACGCAACTTGCCACAGGGCTACGCGGACCAATACAGAATGAGTGGAAGCAGCTCCGAGGCATGCATTGTCGGCCTTTAGCTGATACTTTCTCTTAGAGCATTTGGCTGATTAAAAAAAAGCTGGATTCTGCCTGAAGAGGCCGCGCTCTATGCCAGGGAGGCCGAGACGCTGGCCAAGCGGGCCGAGGTGGGGTCCACGACTTGCACATGGGTGACACCTCTACGATGCGTTTGCGACTCTCTTTGCAACGACTGTCTACCGGAGGATGCGCGAACGACCGCCGAGAAGTATTCAACAGTCGCAGACCGGATTACAAAGGCAATTCCGACGTCTGTCCCTCAGCAGCTACCGCTAACCCTCTCTGCATGTGGTACACCCTCTCAGGATCAAAAAGATGGAAGGAATGGCCGCAGCTCGTGCCAGGTGAGGGGAGTGGGATGCCGTCCGGTGCCGAATCCCCTGCTTCATGATTGAACTTGGGAAGGTGGGCAGAGCAGCCTTTCCCACAGCTTCAACCCCAAGAGGCTCATCAAGGGAATTTAGGAGCCTGTGCTGACTGCCATGTGAATTACTGCGGTTGTGGTCAGTTGGTGACCGTCACGGTGGCACCGCCGCTGGCAAGCTGAGCGTGGCCGAGTGCTTGAAATCGGCAGGAGGCTAGCAACGCCATTTACAGTGGGCATAGAACATGTTCGCATGTCTTGCATTTACCTAGAACAGATGGAATAGGGATGCTCAAGAAGTCTTTGGGATTTTGGAAGGAATCCAATGCTGCTCTGAGCCAATACTGAAAGTCCTGCTTTATGCCATTAACGTTTCACTGTGTCGCCTGATCGCCAGTGTGCGCGAGAGAAATAAGCAGCATATCTGCAGAACCACGACAGTCAAATTCTGGCAAGAAGAAAAGAATATGTTTGAGGATTTGCGCGACAAGCTCAGACACGAAAGCCGTGGCGACGTTCGTGCGAAGCCTTCAGTCGCTGGAGCCTGAGAAGCAGACTCGGGCAGACACAGCGCACAATCCTATGAGATGGCCTGATCAGAATCGTCAGGGCCGCTGCAAATCACATCTCGGTGCCTTTCAAGGATGAGCTTCTTGGTCAACTGCGGCAAGCTCTGAAAGATGGCAACTGGCTGCCGTTGACGGTACAGATCTTAGAATGTGCGCGAGTCGGTTCAAGTTCTCGAGCGAGTCGGCCTGGTGCTCAAACTCGAAGCCCTGAGGCGGCAAGGGCCGTGCCGCGGAGTTCTGATGCCATCAGCGTGGCGGCTTCCTCATGTTAAGGTGGCCTCTGCGGCGCTCTGCTGCGCTCTGTCTGAGACTCTGAGGTCCGGAACCTGTCTCGGCAAGAGACGTTGGAGACACTGCGGGCACTTGTCGTCTGCATCCCATTACCGCGCAGCCACGCAGCTCGTGTGTGGGCAAGTTCCTCGGGCGGTGCGAGGCAAGACACGAGCATCCGCCCGAACAGCCGAACTCCAGCATGTGGATCAATTTTGCTTGCCGCCAAGACAGCTGGGATTCGCTGCGATTACAGATGACACGAACGATGCATGTGCGCAATGCGCACAAGGTTCTCGATTACGAAGTTCATGATCTGCATGGATCAGCGGAGTTGCGGTCCATTCTCAGGCTGCGTCGGCACTAACTTGTCGGCCTTGTCCAGCGGCATACGTCACATCTCAGGACAATCATTCTCGTTGCCTCTCTAAGATCGCGCTGTCGGCTCAAGACATGCATAACAGCAAGCGGCAGCACCCCCAAAATACTGAGCGGGTGTCGCTGCAAGTGTTGGCACCGGTGAGTCACCAGCGCGAGCCTGTCATTGAAATGCACGCATGCACTTTAGCCGTTAGCCAAGCCTACGAGGAAACAGCCTAAGATTTAGCGTTTGTGATGCAGCTCAGCCGGCCTGGCTTGCGCTGGACAGAGATATGGTGCTTGCCTCGCACCGACAGCAAGAGAAAGATGATATGTACTTGGTGCAAGCCTGTCATAGCCTGTCCACAAGCTCCAAGCAGCAACATACCGCCCAGTTTACTTCGAAGTTGTACCGTCTGTCTTTCTAGTCGCAGCTGGTTCAGGGTATGACGGGAGAACCTAAGTGTCCCGCCAGCATGCATGTGCAAAGTGCTTTGTTGCGACGTGTTCGGGGCAGGATGCAACATGCTGGGACCGAAGGAACGCTATCTGAGTGGTTATCTGATTGTGGTGCAAGTGAGGTGCAGTTCAAAATTCTGGGTCCGGGGATTCAGCCGGCCAGTCAGACACCCGCGGCAGCCTCTGTGTTTTCCACAAGATGCAGTCACCTTACTGTCTACATCGTGCAGTAGGTCCAGACAGAGCTGCGTATCAACGGCTCAGAGGAGGCCTCCCTACGATTTCCGGACTCCAGAGCATCTAGCGCGATTCTGCCTGCTCCAGCTTTCAGGTGCTGGTCGTGCCAATCGTCACCAGCACAAAGGTACTTGAGCTCAAGCAGCAGCTTGCAATGAAGCCGGAGGCTTGACAGTCGTGGAGGTGGCAGAGCGGAGAGTGCCACTCGAGTTTTCAAATTGCTGGATCCCACCGGCCACAATGATCCGACAACAATGAAACAGTCCTCGGAAGTCGCCGCAAGGCTCGGAGTGGACCCCGATTCTCTACAGTTCGCCACGAAAGCTGGATGCTCTTGGAGGACTCTAGTGGACACTGTAGCGACGTATGATGTGGCTCGTATCTTCTGCTTCCTGGCACAGTACTCGTCTGTTGTTTCTAACCCGCAGTTGGCAGGATGCAGATGGACCATGAGGAGGTGAGGTGTGTTCTTTTGGCTTGTCTGTGTGCTGGGTCGCTCATGTTGGCACTTCCTTGCCCCTTTAGAGCACTGGCGCGAAGCTTGCTCTTGCTATGAGGTGAGAAGAAAGGTGAATGTCAAGGGCATTAAATCTTTCAAGCCGGAGAGAACAAAGTGCGACGAGCAGTATTCACAAGCTGCATTGGCTGCCACATGCCCTTGCGCGGACAGGTACGAGGATCCGTTTCTCATCATTGGTGCTGGACATATCGGACTGCGACACGCGCACTGGCTGTTTTATGCAAAACCGTCTGAAGAAGCTCCGGGTCAGACCTCGCACGACAATCCTCAACGAAGTGCATGCAATCCTCAACGAAGTCATGCAATCGATTCTGAGTGCCAACCCCTGCCGAAAATACCAGGGCCTTTTCCTGCTGCAGAACGACCACCCAAATTTCATCATCGTTGATCGCAGAGACAAGGCGGGAGAAGCTGAGGCTAAGCCCCTTCTGTGCGCTGGTCGGTACAGGTCGGCGGAACTTCCTGGATTTCACAGGCCAGAGCTGGCAGAACACCGCCGGATGCGTTGCCGTGTCGTGTGGCCAGGCGAACAAGACCTCGAAGCTGCAAACCGAGCTTGGCACGTACCACTTGCAATACGACGAGCAGAATCCGGTGCCGTGGCTCCAAAGCGATGATTCTAGAGACTCGAGACTTTGAAATTACGATTGCTCTCAAGCCTGAATGCCTTGCGAAGGTACCCACGGACATGGCAACCTGGCCCTCACGCGACGAGCTTCTGGATCACTTTGCCAAGGCAAGCTGAATGTGCCAATCTTTCGAGTGAGACTGAGAACGCCAATCGATTACCACCGGCACAACTGGCAAGCTGAGAATGGACATCGGCAATCTACGTTGGCTTAGCTTATGTCAAGCTTCAGTGCCGCACACAACATGCACAGGTGTCGTCCGAATACGGACTGATGCCCTACATTCAGCTGGAAACAAATGCCCCATGCTGAGAGGGATGTGAGTATGACTGGAAATGCAGTTGTAGGTTGTCTCTACCAATGCGAAAGTCATTGCTCTTGAACCCTGAGACCATATATCATAGACCAAATCACGCACAGTGAAATGCGAGTCGAGCACCAATCAAGAATCAGGCCCGAGGTCTCACAAGGTCTAGGGCTTAGGGTTTTTTGGGGTCCAAGGTTAGCAGAATCTAGGGCTAGGATTTTTGGGCTCCTGGCTTTTTAGTTGATGGTCCAAGAGTTTAAGAGGCTTTAAAGCAGGTGAAAAGTGCATTCGGAAGCTCAGCGCGATTCAGGCACTGATGTTCAGAAAGTTCTCGAGACGATTCAGATGCTTTTGGGACGGATTCAGCAACTGCAGTTTATGGAGAAACTACTTGTACCATTTCGTCCTTTTCGAAACTACCGCTATTCAGAAATTGCGGTTCAGCAAACTATGCTGCACCAATTCAGAAACTGGAAAGTGGATGCCCCGCCTGATTTTGAAATCCAGAAACAAAAACGATTTCCGAACAGCCGAAGCGGGACGAGGATGGCAGAAGGAGGGATGAAGATATCGGTGAAAGATTGCTGAATGCCCCCGGAAAAGATGACAGATGGCATGGATAGCACAATCACCGCCTCGCTCCTCGCAGAGGGAGGGATGATAGTGGAAAACCCCCTTTGGCGAGAGACTTACCTTGTATCTCGTCATCGAGCTCGCTAGGATCCACGCGTCTTTGGGCTCTCGGACCCCAAAAGCTTGCGGGTGGAAGACTCGGCCCAGGCCCGTGGAAACACCATAGGAGAACCCAACACCAGAGGGTTCTTTGTGAGATGGCAGTGACAAAGACTGAAAATCCCTGCTCTCGCCTTGCGAAGGAAAGGAGAGATGAAGATGGTAATGGCAGACAGTTCACCTTTTGCACCTCGCGAAAAACAGAAACAGACCAACGAGCCCCCTCGTTCGGCGATGGTGGTTAATCCCATGTCTTAGGGAAGCGGTAACACCAACGTGACCGTGACAATCACACTTCTGCCAGTTTCAACAAGACCGTTGAGCCGCTTCTCGCATGAAGGGGGTGATGACCGCTATGACTATGGCTGTGAGCATCATAAGATGGTTACAGAGATGGCGATAGGGGTTCTGATTGTTCTTTCGTTGCCAGCTGATGTGCGAAGTTGAAAGTTGAAACCGGCTCAATGCGCAGAAGGGTTTGTCCTCCTCATCCCAATCAGATTTGCCATTTGGACACTTTGTAGTATCCACCCGGACAGGCCATCGTCGCTCTTCGCATGGCCAAATCTTCTCACGTAGACGGTCTGCGCTTGTACTTCCCCAATCTGCGCTTTCAGCAGCCGAATCCCGGTTCCCGAATCCAGCCTACGGTCTAGCGGTTATGATGGCTCAGCGGTGTTACGTTCGCGAATCGGCCTGCTACCGAAAAACTTGAGTTGGACAGTCTTCCGTGATCTTGCATGCCGTAGGCGTGAAGGTCTCCGGAAGAATCTTCCGTGGTGTTGGGAGCAGAAGTTGACAGTGGGGGTCGGGGAGCTGGCTGATTACAAACCTTTTCTCTCGTAAGTTGAGACTGAGATCGATCAACAAGAGAATGCTAGCTAGCAGCAGTCGATGCGAGACCGAGAGAGGTGAAAGCCATCACCGTGAGCGGGAACAGCTGCGCACACGGACCCTTGGAAGTCAGCCTGGAAGCAACACAGCCATGCGGCCACGGCTTCCAAAGGTTGCCGAAAGTTCGGAACGAAGCTGAACGAGCCAGGAACTATACGGGAGTTCTTCCCCCAGAGCCAACCGGGAAAGGTGCCCAAAACTCAGACTAAAGAGGATTGACACGAGAATGAGTCACACAAACCTTGATGCCTTGAGGTCAAGCAGCTGAGGGTCAGCAGCGTCTTCATGCGTGCATCTCAATCGAGGATGCCGAGGGTGTCGTGTTTTGTTTAGAGCGTTAGAGAATTCAACGAACTGCGGGTGGGCTCGGATCGCCAGGAAGACAGAACCATCAGTGTGCACTCCCACGCACGTGGGGCCGGTGGGAGGGCGGAGGGAAACCTTCAGTCGGGGCCTTCACGACATGCTACGTCAACGGAGCTTGCAATACTTGTACCGTGCAAGTTGCATGCTACTGTACTCGTGTAGCTGATGATCTGTTAGTTGACCACATTGGACCACTGGTGAAACGAGAAGTGGATGAGAAGGCCAGCTAGGTGGCCAGTGGCTTTCGACAGGTACGCTTCGTCAAACGAAAGTTTGCCTTGGAGTCCCAGTCCTGTGAGGGGTTGTAGGTTCAGTGCCGATGCGGCGTTTCCAACTAAACCCTCCCGGGTCGGCTGCCATCTGGGCTGTATCAAACTTCACGTTGGCCCGAAGAAGCTGAGGTACCCAGGAAATCTTTCTTTTCCTCGGCAAGAAACATACCTCGGCGAGGCAAGGTCCAGAAGTCTAGCATCGGGAGCCTTGGCAGCCGTACCTAGAGCTTGTCAGAGATGCCAGGACCTCTTTGGGGGCATGATCGAGTCAGCACCTCGGTGGCTGACGAATGGACACTTTCTGAAGTTATTTAGCCCCTGAAGATACGCGATGTTCGATACCATCGATTACGACCAGGCAAACCCTCCGGTCCTGGTTCAGGCAAGCTCAAGCGAATGCCACGGATTCCACTGACAGGCAGCCCGCGGAAAGGACGTCATGATCGCCGGTCATGGAGCCTTTGGCGTGGAGAATGTCGCAGTCTCGAGAAGATTAAGTTTTTTGTTCGTGGTATGCTTCCTACAGAGACCGGCCTTTCCTTTCAACCTGCGTGGCCGCCTGCGTGGCCTAGATTCGGACTTGCTGCGAGTTCTCTGCCAAGCGGATCTACATGGTTTGCCGCAGGACTGCTGCGTGTTGCTGCTCATGTCGTGACATATACGGTTTTGACTAGCAAGACTCGACTTCTCTCTCAGGGGGTGGCAAGAATTTTTCCAGCAGCCGCAGTTTGAACGACTCGGTCTGTCCACTTGCTACATGCTGCACCAGCGAGGCGAGCCACTAAAACTGCACACTTGAGCCAACCGAGACGCCGAACAAGATAGAACAGGCGACAAAAATGCTGTGGCGAGAGATCGATGATGTGATTGCGTGGTTCTTCCATGATACCGGCATGGAAGACTGTACGGAGCACAACCATGGTGGATGGAGCGATGGAGATTCGCACGTGCCGTCAAACTTGCGATGGATGGTTGCAGTCTGTTCTCGTGGACCCATGGGCGTACTCCCCAGCTTAGTGCCACGGCTGAACTCGCAACCTTTTGTCCCATGAAGTTCGTGCAGACATGGGTGCTCAGGCTAAATCTATGTTGTGTCCAAAGCTCTTCGTTCAACAGCAGTATAACGGTTATGCTACTCGCTACTCGTATGAGTAGTAGCTGTGGCCATACTCCTCGCAGGACGAACCTGGCCTGTCCACGCGTGAGCTCTTGGCAGCTTACCTGCATGTCACTGTGAGCTCACGCAGCACTCCTTGAAAGCAATGCCCTGGCTTGGCTTGAGGTTCTGCAACCAATCACATCCCGCCATTCCCTGTGGCGCCCTGAAGCAAACGATCCTCGAGTTTGATTCTTTGTTTGGTGGTCTGCAGGCTCCCTCTTCCTCGAAAGCATGGAGCCGGCTTACAGGCCGGGCCCCCATCGTTGGGACCTGCACCAGACTGAGGGGAGGGATAGGGATGGGGCTCTGGCACCAGGCTTATTGGCTACGACCCGTGGCACTGATCTAAGACCACAGCTTTGCAAGAGAAGTTGCACTGATTCATACAGTTGTCCGCCATGACAGCTTTGCAAGCCTGGTGGTCCTTGCTTGTCTTCCGTCACTGTGGTCCTGGTCATGGGACCTGACCCAGCCCTGGCACAGGCGAGAAGCAGGTAGCAACATCACTCACCCCTCCAGATGTGTGTTTCGTGAAAATCACGACACGTCAACGTGCAGATGCTTAACTATTTCGTAACAACTGCTCATTTTGCGTGGGCTCTTTCGGCTTGGCGGCAGGCAGGGTCAGGGCAGAATGATGGGCTGGGGAAACGAGTAAAACGGACTTCGTGAAACATCCCATGCAAAAGGTCAGCACGCAATCGGCAATCAATGTCTTGAAAGGTCATACCACTCTGTCACTTACAATGCTGCCCGAACGAGTGCACAAATTAGTCAGAAAGCCGGAGGCTCAATGTGAGTTGTAGCGAGGTCTGCGATGCTTGCGAAAGTGCAGAGGCCAGATTTGGCATCGGCGATGTGTACTTCTTGGCCCTCAGCATGGGCAAGTGCGAAGTAATCGTCGATGAGGCCGGCAGAGGTTTATGAAGGTTTTGCACAGATCGCCAGAATGGCTTGAAATGGTCCCTTCAAAGAGCTGCAAGCCTGACACAGGTGAAGAGACTCTCGGAAGGGCGCGTTCACCTCCAGTCCGGTCGAGAGTTGTCTGTGCGCCCATGCGTCAACTCGGGCAAAGCTGGCCGCTAATATTTCGCCGAAATTGCTGAGGTACAGACGATTCTCAAAGTGTTCGGTTTCGTCGGCGACCAGGAGGATTGGTTTTTGCTGGTCGTGAAACACTGGCTGGCATCTACTACTCATTGCTTTGGAGAGGTTGACCGCCTCTTGAAAATCAAGAGCATGTACGGTTACTGGGTGTCGCTCCCAGCCGCCAGTTTGAGACCACGAAAAGCTTAGAAAACAGTACAGTAAGCTTTCACAGCTCGGTAGTGGCGTGCGAGTGAGGGAATGCAACGGAAGAAATCAGGAATATTTCTTCGGCGAACTGGTGCATGTTTCTTCGCTGTTCGGTTCAGCCATGGCTTGAAGCATGGCCGCAGGATCTACCAATGCAGGCACATGCAGGCACGGGAGCTGTGCGGTCATCTCATGTGGGCATAACCAATGGCAGGGGAGGCTGACGAGTGAGTGAAAACTCGAACAAGATGTTCACAGGAGATGCGGACATTCTCGCGCGGCTGGTCTGGATCTGTAGTGGGGACGTATGTGATGGCGCAGAGGAACACTATGATGAAACCCTGGTACGGAAGATGCTGCCAAAACACTCATCATGCACAGGGCACACCAGAACCGAGTGACCCGCCCAAGTCGAAAATCCCAGCGGCACCAAGCCAAGTGCAACCAAAGCTTGTCAGCTGGTCAGCCGTTAGCCTGTACCTTCTGCCCAAATGCAGCGCAACTTGGACCGACGAATTGCATGCGAAGAGCAGAGCAATCAGCGCTCAACACGAGCTTAAGAAGTGCTGCACATTGCACCGAGGCAGACGCAGATAATCGCCGCTTCACAGCAAGCGAGAATCCAGGCGCGTGGCGCCCGGTCTCGTTGTCTTGGTGACCCTCCACTAGACGTGACAAAGCTGTGGTACAATCTCTCCTCTCTGACTCATAGCACCCGATCAGACACTAGATTCAGCAGCAGCCGGCGATTGGAACCCACAAGAGCTGAGACTGAGAAGTTAAGAATCCCAGTTGCCAAGGTCTATGCCAGCAATTTCGGTGGCACTAGCTTGTCCCCCGGTCGTGGCCTCGGATGGCAAAGTGTCCGAAGAGTTGCGGCGCCTCCTTTCCTATCCCTGGCACTGGGCCGAGGTGCTATATTTTTTACATTAATGGCCGGGGCCGCAACATTGAGACAACGATGCTCCTCCTTCGGTTTTCGTTTGACAGGCAAGTCACGTCATGTGGTTTCCCAGAGACTGGCTTGGCCCTTGGAATGCTTGGACACCTCTTGTTCACGCAGCTTTCGCTGCTCAGATGCAGCCGCAGGCAGAGACTCGTTGATTCGGCGCAGTTGCCCACGAACAAGAGAGATGATTCGATTTCCAGGTGCACACTCTTTTTGGGGGCTGAATCGCACTCTAACGGTCTGCGTTGGATCACGTGGCTTCTTAGTCCGGGTTGCAGGGTCGATGGACAATTGCTCTGTGCCTCGTAGTAGTCCATCGGTCTCAAAAAATCAGTATGATTCCTGGCACATGATTTGGCTGTTCCGTCCGTGCAGACCGGCATACGTGCTGGATGCCAAGACAGCTCTGTGCGGGACACAGCAGCAGCTGTTGTGTCATTATGATTCGCAGCGACAGTGCAGCACACTTGCCATACTGAGCCTTGAAATCAGGCCGATCAGCTTCGTTGTGCCTGCGATGTGTCCAGGGATAGGCTTCATCGCAACGTGCGCACAATGCAAAGCGGGTGACGAAGACGCATGGTTTGTTTCCGGATAGGTGAAATCGCAATGGGGCACGGCGCTCTCAAGCGACTTAGCTTTGCTTTTCCCAGAGCGGAGAGATGAAGCAGCCTAACAGCGTCTAGGAGAGCTGAGATACATTCCATGACCCACGAAGCCAGGAAGAGGAAGCAGCTGGAGTGTCACCCTCTGGAGCGCTTTCTGGAGGCAACTGAGAACTGCAGATCAAGTCTCATCCCATCTGCGAACGCATGCATGAAAGGAGTGCCAGCAAGAATGGGACGAGCCACCTGGAAGAAAAAACTCAGATCTCGCGCAAGCTGCGTGACTGACTACGCAGTTGCTAAGGTATGCGAGAAAATGGAAGGCGGACGACCCATCTTTGAGGGATCCTCCAGCCTACCCATACTCAGTCGCAATTGCGCGGCACCAAGTTATGCACTCACTATGAATTGCAAGATCTGACGGCCGAAATATCGTACTCTCTTGTGTGCGCGCGTATGGGTGCGCATTTGCCTGCGTGTGTACGAAATGCTCATAATGCTGCTTTGTTAACGAGTGGATCCGAGTCCGAGGTAAAAGGGCTCTTAGCGAAACACGCCGCCCTTGTCAGTGAGCAGCCAATGAGCTGATGCAGAATCGATTAGCTTGTACGCCACAGGCGAAAAGAGCTTCCGTGCAGAATGCCGGCATGGGATATGACACAACTAGGTTCCTGTAACACTGTAAGAATGCCAGGTTTCAATGTCCATGCAATGGCATGAGTACGTTGTGATGAGTAGCCTTTCTGCCAGGCCTTTGCTGATTTCTTTGAGGCACGAACTCGGGCAGTCGTCACACGCTGGACAGGCACGCATGGGGTAGAGCAGGTCTTATGCCATCTTCCTTCTTCTTTTGTTGCTTTGCTGTAATGACAGAGATTCTAGACTTGTTGTTGAAGGTGCTGAGCTGCGTAGTCAAATGGCGCTTGGCTTTGGGACTTGCCAAAGAACGCAAGGCACGGTGCTGTGCAGGCTTGTTCGGTAATGCATAGGCCGAGCTCAGGAAAAGATACGAACGAACATACAAGCTGCCCTTCCATCTGGGATCTCCTACCACAAAGCAAGTTCGCCCTGCAACTGCCAGATCCTTATTCCTCAAAAGAGAGGTACAAAAGCCGAAGCCCTTAATGCACAGTCTCCGTTGAAATGCCCCGCCCCTAATCTGCTTGCGAGTTTCAGTGAGGTAGTGTACTAGGTCATGGAACCGGTTGACAGATCTCGCAACAACCATATTCCGGACATAGGTCCAGACCAGACAGAATAAATTGACAGCTTTCCGCATTGATGGCCTCTTTGTGTCAGGCTCCTCCAGATGTGGGGTCGGCTCTTCGTTTGCAATGCAGAATGTGCCGGTACTTAGCTTCTTCGGCGAGTGTGAAGGAAGTGGAAGAAGACGACCTGGGAGAGGCCACTGCAAACACCGCGTGTGAACGGCTCTAAAAGGGAGTCGATGAGATCACCGAAACCTTGGAGCGATTCACCACGCTGAGCCTGTTTGACAAAGCAGGATGCAGGCGCAGACCAGGATGACAGCAGAGAGGCAAGGAGATGTTGCCAGTATTTCTCAAGTTTGAGACTGCAGCGATTCGGGAGAGGTTCTTGTCGCATCCTGTGGCAGCATGTGATTCGGACCTCAGCAAGGCTGATCTGACCGATGTTGAAAGCCTTGAGGCTGCTGCTGATCCTGCGTCGTCAAACGCCGAGAGTGATACTGATGGCGAATAAGCTGACCAAGTGGGAACCTGCCGTTTAATGTGCTTCGTGACACTTCAAATGCATAGCGTGACTTTGCAGCACTGACATTCTGGCAAATGTGTGAGGACATGGACATGCAATCCTGTGGCTATCTCTTACTTAGCTTGCCGCATGGCTGTGCTCCAAGAGCATGCCGTCTGCAATCGTTAACGACGCCGTACATTGCAGCCCTGGAGCGCTGTGGCTCTCAGATGCTCTCAGACTCAGTGACTTCTCTTCTCAAGCGATTGAGAAAAATCGACGAAAAACCGAGCCCAAAAGCCAAGAGATCTGTTAGCCGAAAGCAGAGCTCCCTGCCTTCGGTTCTGCGGGCGCCACATCGGCATCACCTCGGTAGGGTGCCCTCGCAGGAGAAAGATGACGAGGACGATGACGACAGAGCCTCAGAGATCGAACGGCTTTGTCTTGAGGTTATCCAGGGGGTGCATGCAAGCACAATACGGGATCGAGAAGCGCTCGCAGATTCCGTCAACACATCCAGAAAATGCTGCGCTCCGCAGCGAGTAGGAAGTGATTAATTAGTCAGAACATCCCATGTAAATTCTCAGATCCAGGTACACCTCAGGAACATGCCTTTGGGAAAGATGCTCAGGCCTCGACTGACCATCACAGCCGGGTCTAAAGGGCTGAGAGACCACATGCAAGGCAAACGAGAACACACCAGTGAAAGTATTGCTAGTCATTCGAGCAGAGGCACCGGCCGGCATATGATGTCCAATCAAGGTGCTCACGGTGTGGTTCGGGCACTTCAAAGCCAAACGCAGACCAACTCTAACGAAGCCGTCGACGTCGATTGCAACGGTGTGTTCGGAGGGGCGTACAGAATGGGCTTCAGCTACTGGTTGCAGACGGGCTGGAACGTGGAAACGGGCATGCCAGCGTCCAGTCGGTGTGCAACGGCAGAGTAGCCTCGGCGAGAAACCAACTCGTTCTCCTAAAGCACTTGCCTTCCTCTGATTGCGGGACCTTCAATTCCTCCAGTACGAATGGGAAATGCAGTAAGCGGGCAATATCACCGCTTGGACCATTGTATAGACGACGAAGCTTCCTGTCAAGTCCTCACGCTGTCATTCCAGTCCACGTAGCTCCAGTGGGTCAGTGGCTCATGCACGCGCGTGTGCGGGGCGTGCAAGAAAGCTCGCCTACCCAAGCAAAATTCGAATCGCGAGGATCCCGATCCCGAGAGCTGCCCAAGTTTCCTGGCATGTGTGTCGACAGTTCAATATGAAGGGCCCTGCGTTTGTTGCCAGCCTTTGCAAAGTAATGCCGAATCTGTGAGGATGGAGACAGAGGAGGAGGCGGAGGTGCTTGGGGTGCTCAATGGACCGCGCGGAAGGTCGGATTGGAATCACAGTAGTCAAGAGACAGCGACAGCAGGGACATTGCCTCTGCAGGCCGCTGCGTCATCCTTGGACAACATGTCCCACATGACTCTCGTCTGCAATATTGAACCGTGATCCACTATGACTAGGACTATGATTCACCGTGCCAGCCACATTCAACAAACAATTCAAGCTGAAGGGCAGGAGCCGGTGATGACGATGATGCGGATGATGAGCATGATGATCATGATGATGACGATGACAACACGGCAGCCAGCATGGCGATCACGATGGCGATGATGACCACGCACACTCACTGACGCACCGCTGGGATTCGTGTGACCGACAGACTGGCACGTCATTAGTTGTCATGCGCCTGCATTTGACAGAGCTAGAACCACGAGTGCATACCGGCATGTCCCGCTGTCGAGGTTCAGGGGAAACATCCTGGAGGCTACTGTAGTCAGTTTGCATGCACTGCCGAATCACTTGACTCGCGATGACTCGCAGGTGACCCTGCCCCTGATTCAACGAAAGTTGGAGGATCAGAACTGGGAGGCCTGCTGGTCAGCTGAAGATGAAGAGTCAACATCTCAGTTTCGCTGCCTCTGCCAGGTTCAGGAGTCTGGTGTGCTGGCTTTGGGGGCAATTGCGTTTGGCTGCATGGTGCGGCCAAGCATGCATGGAGTCGCAACACACCTGCTCTGGGCAGAGCTTCCAGCACCGCTCTATAGTTGGTGCAACTGGACAGGAAGGACTGATGCAGTTCATGCCGAAAGCCAGACACCCGGCAATGGTTGCCCTCCCACTCCTTGAGTTGGTCTGCAATTTGCAGGTCATGGATCATTTGCTTAAGCATGGCGCTGAGTCATGCTGAGACCTACAAATTAAGCCAAGTGTGCAGTCATTCGTTTAACGTGTCCGAGGCTTTGCCAAGCTCCGAAACCTCTCCTGAGAAGTATTTCCTGCTGGACTGACTTTGTTTCGGGATAGGGATCAAACAATCCCAAAATCAAAGAACTGTGCTTAAAAACTCAGCCTAGAGAGGTCACAAAGAAATCAAGCAGGGATGAAAAATCAGACGGGGATCAAGGAATATCAAGGAACAAACCTCAGAAACGCTACAGATCGCAGCACTTGCGGGTTGTGAGCACTCACAGACTGGTATTTCTCTCTCCATGTTTCCCTTCCCTCCCAGGAAAGCACGAGGGAAGGAATGAAGGCAGACAGGAAGACAAGCAAGGAAGCAAGCAAGACAGGAAGAAGCCAAGCCAATCCCTCCCCCCAACCCCCCGCCGCAAGACCTCTTTTCTAGCCGCCCCCGCTCCACAGATTATACGTCAACGGGGTGCGCTTTGTCTTGTTTATCCGGAGCAGACAGTGAGACCAGCACATGAGGCGTGATGATAACACAGCAGTTTCATCGTGGTCCACTGGTTCTCTGTCATTGGGTCATCTGATGCCTCATTTATGCAGGTGCTCCCTCCATCACAAGCCCACACCCATGCTAAAGCGGTGCCAAGCAAAGCCATGTTTAAAACTGCCCCTGTTTGTGCTTCATACCATCGCGGCTCCAAAGGCTACATGCTCATGCGCCCAGGGCTCCCAGTCCTAGCTCCCCGGGTGCAAGAATCCACTGGAACACATCTTGCAGAAGCTGCTGCTCGTTCATCTTGCAGCCCAGCTATGAATTGCTTGTGAGATTCCCATGCTCTGTTAAGACCTTGCTGCACATGATAGTATGGCTACTGTACTACCGGTGCTACTAGTCTCACTAGTACTGCTAGTACTACTGCTACTCCTGCTCTTCCTCATTCTCCTCCTGCTGCTGCTGCTGCTGCTGCTGCTACTACTACTACTACTACTACTACTACTACTACTGCTACTACTAATACTACTACACCTACTAGTCTTATTATGTTTACTGCTACTGCCAGAACTGTTTTTGCTACTATACCACGGTTACCAGTGGTTGCCATATTTTATAAACTAGTACGAAAGTTACAACTGTTGCTACTACTGCTACTGCTACTGGCATCATGATCCCTGTTTGGCGTGTTGATCATGGATTCGTTTTTGATCCGAAGTTTACTCTTCCAGAAAATCTGAGTGGTTGGTCTAATGTTGATTTGTCTATGATCCCAGGTTTTGATTGTCTTAACCCCTTATCTGTGTTTCGATGCCTCAGCCTCTTGGTTCACGGCCTTGACAGGACAGTGGCCCGATTCTCTCATTGGATATGCAATGAACATCTGAACCCACAGTCGCAGCAGGCACGCTGTATGTGGCCGCGGCACAACGGGGCGCTGCCTTAAGTGCAGAAGCAGCGCTGCAGGTTCTGAGATCTGTGCTGCAGCAGCTCTTGCAGAGAGTTCTTGACAAGAACAAGCGGGTGCAGGAGGAGCAGACTCCATGCCATGACCTGTTAACACCGGGCTACCAGCTGGCCCTCAGGCTGCGTGCAGCGCCTTCGCCACCCTCGAAGAAACGGTCGTCTTGGCCTGTTTGAGCATTCAGCCACATAGCAGTTGTCAAGCCCATCTCCGGCCATGGAACTCAGCAGAGTTCGCACACCGGGAAGGCACGGCTCCTTCTCGTGCCATACCTGGACGACATTGCCCTGGGCTTACTTACATGGAGCACTGGTCTCCAACCGTCTTGAAAGTTGCCAACGTGTATGAAGGTACAGACACTTTCCAGGGCTTTCCAAATGTACCAGGTCCAACGCGATTGCCCGTTGCAACGTGAGGAGACCCGACCTGCATTTGCCAGGCCAAGAACCTGTTGATCCTCTACGATGCTGTGGGGACGTTGGCAGATGCTGTAGGCCTGGGCCAAAGCAAGGACACCAGAAACTGAAATGCTGATGCGAGCATCGAGTCCGTTCAAGTCCCCAAGCGTGCAAAGGTCCGGAGCTGGACACGCAGAAGCCAGAAGCACGATATTTCTAAATGTAAGCATGTGAATGTGTCGGGTCTTCGCTGACCAAGGTACAAGCAACTATTGCTTGAGCCAATGTTCCAGAAGTTCCTTCACACCCCAGACCACGACAGATCTTTAGTGGCCCTGTTCGAGTGCCTCGGATGCATGCATCTACCGACGCAGCTTGGCAATGAGGAAGATTGTCTCGGCAGGAGACTGTGTGCAAAAAACCGGTGAGGTTAACGGAGTCGGCATGGGAAGAACAGCACGAAGAAAAGCAAATGACCGCTTTCCTGTCCTGGAACGGGTTGCAGCGGAATGTTGCATTTTGCGTTCTGCTTTGATGATTCTGATGCACTCAGCTAAAGAAGCTCACTCCCAGACCTTATTGCAACCCTTCCCTCATACCAGAGCCACACTCGCGCTCGGCAAGTTTACACGAAGGTTGCATGCAACCCGTGCACCGTGGTCCTAGTGAGACATCAAGCGTGTTGGACTCGCACAGCACCCTAATCGTTGCAATTTCGCAACCCGGGCATCCAGCTGTGTCCGTCTAAGGCTAGGCTCATCAGATCCATCTTTCTACGATGCTGAGGTGCTTTTCATCTTTGGCACAAAACTTGGGGCCATCCTTCATGCCGCTGTGCAAACCGCCCGATGCACAGCTGGGAAACGAAGCCACACAATTTAAGCTCATGGCCTCCTCGCCGGCTGCGAGTGCTAAGGCTGATAGAAAGGTGTACCCGTCTCATCCGCACTGGTGCACAAGCGGCTCAAATGCTGCACACCGAGTCACCGACTGGGCGTCGGGCATGGTTCCTGGAAAGTGTTGGAGTTCATGTGTTCGAGGTGGATGCAGAATCCCAACGAATTTGAAAAGCCTGACCGCGAGGCATGTGGACCTGCTCAAGCAGAAGCAACAAAAAGCATGTCAGCCACGCAGGTCATGGCTGCAAGCATCGACTTACTCTCCGGCATTGTAGGCGGACTCCAAAGAAGAGTGTCCGAGGCGCTCGATCTCTGAAGTGCATGCGTCTTTCAGCATCCAGCATCGAGCGCTTCAGGTCCTTGCACAGGATAACTTCCTCGCTGTAGTGCCGGAAGTGCTTAAGGACAGCGCATTACAGGCGGAGCATCGCGTTGTTGCAACCAGCAGCTTTGGACTGCATTGTTCAGGTAAAGCAAAGTGCGTTCGCACTCGTGGGTGACTCTGCAAGACATTGCATCGAGCAGGAGTCTCAAGACCCCCGAGTGGCACACGTTTTCCGGAACAGACAAAGAGTCTCAAGGGACTCCTTGCCCAGGCACCTTTCACCGTTCTTGCCGCAGCTACTGCCCCAATGTGCTCAGCCCAGCCTTATCTGCGTCTTCTCCAGTCCTGCAGCTTCTGCTTGAAGATGCAGGTGCAAAAGCTCTTCGGGAGAATAACTCCGCGACGGAACTGCCCCTGAAAACTGCTTTACAGCGTGGACCGGACTCGAGCGTTTGAATCGCGTGAGGTCAGCAACAACGCATCCTGGGCCGTTGGAGAGATTTGCATCAAGGCTGAGAGACGCCCACTTAGGGCACAACGGAACCTCACAAGCGCGAGAAGGTCGGGCCCGACTACATGGCGAATTACCTGGAAGATATCGTCGATGCGCTTGTGACTACGCTGAACAGGCAAGAAGATTTGTTTGACGTCAGATCTCATGTATTCGGAGTGAAATTCGAAGATGCATCCAGGTGTACACAGCAAAGTAACAGGATGCTGACGTGGAGCTGGCGAGTTGGAGTTCAGCGCGATGTGCAGCTGCACACACACACACACACACACGCACAGACCGGGGCCAGGCAAAATGTTTGCATCACTTTGGGCCGCCTGGGTGTCGTAAGATGCTCAGAATCGGAAGCAGATCCATTCGCTTCTGCGTGCTTGGCACCGTCAGGTCTGCGGACCTCAGATGGGCAAGAGCTTCTCCCAGTTTGCGCGGATCTGGTGCCTGGTCATGAAGGACTTGAGCAGCATTCTTCCAACTGGGCTGCTTCCCATTTTGAGCCCATCGGTCAAGGCTTCACAGTGATTCAGCAGAGTACAACTGACAAGGGCCATGACCGTGCTGCCCTGAAGGATGCTAGACACGATGCTGAGAAAGTCAATGCATTCCAGGCGCTGCCACAACCTTTCGCTTGACCTTGCGAGGGTACACACTGCACCGCTGCCCAGGGTTTCTGCAACATGGTGCAGGCCAACCCACAGGCCCCGTGTCAGACATGGACCTTAGTTAGCAGGAGTACGGCTCAACAGCCCGAGCTCCCGTGGTATCCGGACAGGTTGCCCTCCAACACCCTGTAGAGTGTGCAGGCCTGGTGAGCCATTTTGCTGGCACGGACATGCTGACATTGTCAAAAGCTGCACAAGCAACGTCCTTGCCGAGTGCTAGGTGCCATTGCATCGCTTGCCCCTGCTCCACAACATCTTCAGCCGAACTTCCAGAACATCCTCTCAAGAGCCCCGGCAGCAAATGCATTCTCTTTCACGGTAAAACGCGACAAACGTGCGACGCGCTTGCACCGGCAAGATGCGGAACTGAGGTTACAAGCAGGCCTGCGTTTCACCGCCGTGTTTCAATAGATTCAGTCAATCATCCAATTCCGCTTGTTCTTGCAGACCTTGGGAGCCAATTGGGCAAATGCCTGGAAGCAGGCACTGCAGCAATGGGGTGAAGTTTCGTGAGAGACCTGAACATGAGAAGTCGCTTCGAGCCGTTGCAGATGCCACAAGATGTGCAGCACAAGCTTTCGCATATGAACCTTGGTGGCAAGTCACAGCTGGATCGCTTGAGGCTGGGAAGTTATAGTCTTCGTAGCTGAGCCGGGAGGTACGCCGGGATAGAGCCTTCGTCTTGAGCTCAGCAAAAGATGGTAGGCTATTACCATGCTGCTGTGTTGTGTGCCTCCCTTTGCTGCTGTCTCGGGTTTGTTGCAAGGTCCTAGACCTGCGGGAGAGAGCCTCACTTGAAAGCTGACGGATAGCGCGCGGGACAGAACTCCGTGTCTTGCGGCTACTCGTCATACCTGCCAGCCATTGTCAATGGTTCGTTCTGTTGTTAGTGGGCAAAGTCGTGTGGACAGACGATGCTGGCAGGACCATGATAATGTTTCTCATGCCCAGGGATGCCCAAATGTTTAAGGCTAAAGGTGTCCTGCTTAGTTGCGCTTGCCTGGATGCTTTTGAAGAAGAGACGGGTTGATACTTCAGCCATCGGACGAATTAAGCAGCTACAGTAGAAATCAGTGGCCGGTGTCTTCTTCAGGAAGCATGTGCAGGCAATATGCAAACCAAAAGTGTTTGGCGCAGCACGTCCCTTTGCCGGTCCATCCACGTCCCAGAGCAGAGAACCTACAGATTATAGGACAAGCCGCTACAGAGTGGGATTTCTTGAACACGTGGCTATGCATGCCTAGAAGATCTTGAAGTACACCCGTTGGAATCGGATACCTGCAGCTAGGGCACCGGTGGAATCGCAGCATTCGTCCTGAGTGCGGGTCAGACTCGCACCTCGGATGCATGGGAAGCTGCCGAGCTCTTTTCAGTCAGGCCCCCTTTTTGCTTTCGTCATGTTTTGGTCGTGGGACAGTTCGTTCTTCCTAGCCGAGGCAGCCGCGATGTCCACATCGCTCTGTGGCAGCATTGGCGGGCCCACAGCAGTACATTAGTTAGCGGGCACCGCATCTGCTCATGCAGCCGGGTTTCTGTCAGACAAAATGATTGCATGATTCGTTATGCTGTTCTCCGCCAATCACCGGCATTCGCAAAGAGACCCAGCTGCGCTTCTCTGCTGCGCCAAGCAGCCAACACATCTTGTCTGGCTCAAGCTGACCGCTGTGAGGTCGAGATCAGTCCACACAGCACCTACAAAACACACTGCAGAATGCAGTGCTATGCAGCTCCAAACTTGTAAATCACAATACTGCAACCGCCATGTGCGGACAAGCTTGCTCGGAGTAGGAGATGTCCCCTGTCCTATCTGGCCACTGACACGCTCCGAGGAGACGTGAAACAAGTCGCATAAGATGACAGTTACCATGCAGACACTCGCAGGAATTTATCAGCTCCACATGTCCTGCACTCAGAATCGAGCATGCACAGCAGTTTGAGACAGATTCTTCGAGGCAGAGCCGAGATGATGCCAAAGAGGTCCGTGACATTTCTGTCGGCTGAAGTTATCTTGGCCGAAAGCCATTTGGCCCTTTCTTGGGTCTTGAGGACGGCAGAGAAGTGGTGTTTTGCCCGCGGTCCATGCGAGCAAGCACCGAGGTGTCATGGCAGCAGTACACAATGCTACACCACGGGTGCTATTAGCAGGCGACTGTAAAAGAGGCCCGGTAATGGATGAGGTGCAAGAGGAGCCTTTCGCGGAGGACGCGGTCGCAACGCAGCGGCGCTGCTGGGTGGGAAGCCCAGTGGACGGAGCAAGTGCAAACTTGAAAAAGCGGCGCGTTCAAGGAGGTTGCACCAGATTTTGCCAAGATTCCGCAGCGTCCTATGAACTCTCTGTTTGCGATTTGGCCGTGCAGGTGCTGCCTCCTTCGGAGTGCCGTCCTCGGCCACTCTACAGGGGCTCCGGATGTGACAGGAGCACACTGGCTTGCTATTTTGACGGCCGTCTCGCTTTTGGTCAAGTTGCAACAGCAGAACCACATGAGCTAAGCAAATCCAGGATCTCTAGACTTTGCTTGACGAGATCAGCCGATCACAGCATCAGCATGTATCAGCTATCGCGTGCATAGAAAAGTACCTGACTTGTAACGCAGCCCGCACACGAGTTGCAAAGATGTTTGCGACGGTGCAGTCGCCAGGCATCGCTCCTGCACACGCAGTTGGCCAGAATGCAGCTGGAATGTCCTGGAGCAAAGCTTACAACAATGCCCTTTGCATGAGGTCTGGTTTGCAGACGAGCAGCCCACTCTTTCTTGACTTTGGACAGAGATGGCCTGCACTGGATGTGTATAGCCGGCAGCTGCGTGCCTTTCGCCCGTCTTCGCAGCCCAGTCTGAGACCGACCCTAAGTGCAACAGCCGCTTGCAGATCTCAGGTGCTGCAGAGCACCAGGCGTATTCGCCAGTCGGACGCGAGCAGCGAGCATTCGTCCAACAAGCCAACGCTGCGGCGGTTATTGGCACTGCTGTGGCCGGACCGAGTTCTTCTTGGAGTTGCTTTGTGCTTTCTTATTGGTGCGGCTGTCTCACAGGCGCGGTACATGTACTAGCTTTTTTAGGCGCGCTCTATTAGCTTGTTTGAAGCAAATGTCAATGGCAAGTTGAAGTGCCTCCTTGTCAGGCAATGCTCCCTCACTGCTTATCTGACACTTTGAGAGTGATCATTGCTGGTCAAGCATCTGGCACGCTCGGAGTGAGCACGTTCACCGGGCCTTTATCAAACTTGTTGCTTGCAGCTTTAGCTGGTGCCTTGCTTGCAAACAGCGCAAAGCCTTCATTTTTTCTACAAACTGGCCTCCTGCAGTCTGTTTGGATTCAGATGACACGACAGGGACGATCCAAGCCCTCGGCGGCAAACCATTTTCGAGTCGTAGTTGCAGCTCTTGACACTGACCACAACCCAAGAGCCCTTGCCAACTCGAGCTCCAAACCATCGCAGTCTAGACTGGAAAGCCGTTAGCCCTTGTTGAAGCCTTGCAAGACGAGTCTTTGGTTTTGCATTGCCGCAGCTTCTGAAGCCAGAACATGCTAGAGCGTGTCTTCTGAACTGAGGAGCCTTCTTCTCTTCCCTCCGGGGTGCCTGCTTCATCGTTATTGGGGCCAGGGCTTCTGTACGCCTCCGGAAGCAGCTATTCAAGTCACTACTCAAGCAAGACCTTGGCTTCTATGATACCACGAAGACTGGAGAGATCACTTCGCGCCTGACGCAGGACTGCCAGCGAGTCGCCGACCAGGTCTCGTTTAACGTAAATTTCTTTTCGCGGACTGTGGTGGAGCTGGTCGCCACGCTGTGCTTCATGCTTTCATACTCTGCTGAGCTGACCATGATTTCTTTCGCCACCGTGCCAGTAGTGGCATTTCTGTCCAAAAAGGTCGGGCACTACATGCAGAAGTTGTCCGAGGCAACTCAGCAACGGCTTGCTGATGCTAATGCTGTCGCCGAAGAAGCATTGTCCTCCATCGCCACTGTGCGAACTTTTGGAGGTGAAGCCTGGGAGGAGCAGCGATTTCAATCTAACTTGTTGAAATTCTACGAACTGGAGAGTCGCAGGGCGAAAGTATACGTGGGATATCTCTTCGTCATTATGATATTGCCGCATTTAGGAAATTGTCTCGTGTTGTTTCAAATTGGACGCCTTTGTGTGCATGGTCTATCGGCGCCTACATTGTTGGCTTTCGTCTTCTATTTGCAGACGCTGAACGGCTGTTTCAATTCGCTGGCAGACATCTACACAAACATCATGCAAGCACTGGGATCTGCTACGCGAGTGTTTGCGCTGGTGCATCGCAAGCCAAAGATCACGCAGGCGCCTGCAGATTCTGGCTCCGGCTCTAGCGCTGTAAAGGTGAAGGGTCACTTGGAACTCCGGAATGTGTACTTCAGCTACCCAGCACATCCCGAAAGGCAGGTGTTGAAAGGTCTCTCGCTGCAGTGTGAGCCGGGAAGTGCAGTGGCACTGGTCGGAGCCAGTGGAGGTGGAAAGTCTACCTGCATATCCTTGTTTCAACGACTCTACGAGCCTCAGAGAGGAGCCGTTTTCTTGGACCAGCGAGACATCATGGACTATGATAGCAGCTCGTTCACGGAAGTTGTGTCTGCAGTTAATCAGGAACCTGTCCTATTCGGCAGCAGCATTCGGGAAAATATCTTGTACGGTCTTCCAGAAGACCACCCTGCACGCAGCAATGACCTGTCACCTGATGTGGTGCAAGCAGCCTGCCTGGCTAATGCTCACAGTTTTATTCAACGAATGGCAGATGGTTACGACACCGAGGTGGGGGAACGAGGGGTACAACTATCTGGAGGACAGAAGCAGCGCATCGCAATCGCTCGGGCTCTTGTGCGCAAGCCGCAGGTTCTACTGCTTGACGAGGCTACTAGCGCACTTGATGCAGAAAGCGAGCTGCAGGTTCAGATGCTCGCCAGATTATGCAATTAGACTTCGAAAGATCGGCGGCAAAGTCATTGATGGCTTAGGGCTTAGGCCATGTAATAACATGCATAGGTGTATGCAGGCTGTATTGCGGAACCGCGTAGATCCTCCTTGGACAACATGGGATAATGGCAACATATGGCAACCCAGACAACCAAGCAACAAAAGCACCACAAACCGTTTCGTTTGCGATCTCGTGCAACTTTCCGATTGGGTTTATAGTGGCATATCTGAAGGCGATCTAAGACACGGGTCCGCTGTCTGAGGATTGCCATCAACAACTTGGTGGCACAGCAGGACATGACGGTTGTGATTGTCGCACACAGGCTATCAACAGTGCAGAGGGCAGACAAGATTTGTGTAGTGGAGGGAGGTGTGATTGTGGAACAAGGACGACATGCCGATTTGCTTCAGAAGGCAGATGGACACTACAAGCGGTTAGTCGACCAGCAGCTCAAACACTGACCGATACTGGAATCACCAAAGCCCAACACTGACAAGCGCAGACAGCCAACGTGCTGTCGGATGTCTTCGTTTCAAGATCGTCAGAGCTGCAAAACTTTTTAAAACTGGCCATCTGGCTCGTGGTGATGCCACAAGTCGTGGTCAGATCACCAAATTGTTTGAAACCAAAACAGATGTCCGGAAGGCTTTAATCTGAAGCGCCTGAGTTCCACTGATGGGCACAGCAATTGATCTCATTTTCTATGTGCTAGTACCATTAATCTCAAGTGTACAGACTGCAAGAAGTTGTTGCCCTTTGGGCGTTTTCAGTGCTGACAGCACAAACCCACAAAAGAAACTCAAGGGTTGCACTACTGTCTATTGCGGTAGATTCGCTCGAGGTTCTTGCGAAGGCAGCTTACAAACATTCGACTCACTGCCAAGGCCACATCCTCCAGAACGTGAACCTGAGGATTGTGGGGAGTCGGGAGTGTCTCAGCACCTCTGCTTTTGACTATGAGCTCCGAGTCACAGGCCGACGAAGAAAGTCACGAGCTTACGAGAAGAGAGAAGAGGATGGAGGGAGAGTTTCGCGAGTTCTCACCAAGGCCGGAACCTTGGGTTGGGCCCCCAGTTCCGGCGACCCGCGAAGGGGAGCTGCCCGCGCTACACCCGTCCAAAAGCATCCGCGGAACATCGCATCGTATGGAAGCTCGCACATTCCGGCCGAGGCCAGCGGGGCGGCGCCCGGCGGGGCGGCGCCAGTCCTCTGAGCGGCCTGCGGCCGCTCGAGAGGAGGCGGTTGGGCACCGGATGGAGGCCCGCCAAGGAGAGGGCAGCGACCACCCGCCGCAGCAGGCACCGAAGCGCCAGTCCTCTGTGGCAAGCGACCGATCGCGGAGAGGCACCGGAGCTTCGCCATCAGACTTTGGTACTGTCATGGCTTTGGCACGAGGCAAGTCCTGGTGTTGTTGCTACTCGGTTTGCAGGTGTTGGCGGGAGAAGCCAAACCGAAGGTCGAGGAGAATCCCGGCAAGCTCATTTCGGCGGTTCAGTCGGTGCCCAAACAACCATGCCAGGATTCTCAGCAACCGTCAATTTGGGGAGCTCCAGGTCATCAAAGAACAGCGCGAGTCAGGCGGTGCTGCCGTGATACAGTCATGCCAGGCAATCGCACTCAGAGACTGGTGCCGGCGGCGGTCCCCTTTCAGCAGCGGTCTGAGCATGCCATCTCCATGAACGCAGAACTACCGGCAAAAGAATCCCAGGCGAGACGCCGCAATGGCGCAGCAACCATGTCTGCCACAACCATCGCTGCTTGGCTTAGCATGAACCGGACGCTGAGTCATCTCTTCCATGGTGCAGCATAGCTGAGGCCAACAAGAACAGCTCAAGTGCCAATGGCCGAGCAGCAAGTTCAGGTTCCATTCCTTTGTGTGTGTGTGTGTCAAGCCTCCTGCAAGTTGTTTTCAAAGCAGCACACCTAGCCAGAGTCGAATCTCGGGGCGATGTTCTCATCAACCTCATGAAAAGTGGATGCGAGACCGTCTTGGTGGGCTTTGGGCGAAGTAGCTCCAAACGATTCTGGCTTTGGTGATACGATGTCGGAATTGATGGCAGCCAGGCACGGCGACTGCGACTAGGCAGACGCGGGCTCGCTCGCAAGAGGCTTGACCTATGCCGAGGCGGTCGGGGCAATGCACGGGCATCTCGGTTGTCACAGGTGACTTCTCGCCGCGGCTCGACCGGAGCAGAGCCGATGGTGTCGATTAGCCAGCTCAGGCTCACTGACAGATGCATAGCTAGAGCTTGAAGATCGCCCAAATGCAGATGAGGGGCACCTGCATGGCACGTCTGCGACGGCTCAGGCATCGTAAAATTCAATCGGCCTGACAGAATTTAATCTAATCTTACAAGAAGTGCTGTAGTTACTCAGCGTGAAGCGAGGCGCAAGATCACATTAACGGTCTCAGTCCGCATAGTCGAGCGAATGGTCCCAGCCGAGTGCATCAACAAGTGAAGCATGAGACGAAGACGGCGTCAGATGGAGTCACGCTCGAGATCGCGTGAAGGCGCGATGGTCCCATGACAGTCTCGCATGTCAAACTTGTCTCGTGCATTCTTTCCTGCCGAGGTGACGATTCAGCCCGCGGGCTTTTTCAAGAGCCTTACATGAGGCAGCTGAGGATAGAGGACTGTCGAGCTGTCTTCCGATCCAACAAGGCAGCGATTCATGCATCGAAATCGGAGATCAAGGCAGTTTGCGCCCAACTGTCGCAAGCTCTGAAAGCAGAAGCCCTGGACAGCGTTGTCCTGGACCTGCTGAGACGGCTCTCGGTCTACATGCATCCACTTCGAGGGCATAGAATGCTGGAATATTTGCGCCATACAGGGGCTGTACCTCTTGTTAAAGTGGTGAGACGGGACTGTGGAAAAGAAGTTTCAGGCTTTGCGTCCCGGCTTTTAGACTCGTGGAGGGCGGTCCTGATCCAGCTGCAAAAGCAACAAGCCGCTACAGCGAGTGCTTCTGCGGCTGGCCCCAGCTCGTCCGCACGACAGCCGAGTGATGGAGGAAGAGCCCTTTTGGTCTCCTCCTCCTCCAGTGCCTCCAGTGAGTCCACCAGCTCTGACTCGGAAGCTTCCAGAGGACCACGAACCGCTCAAACCGGAGGAGAAAGGGGGAACCCATCTGATGTGCACAGCTTGCGAGCTGCTTCTGTATCTGCCGCTTGCTTGTCGGGTTGGCAAGCATCACAGCCGGGTCACATCACGGCATACTTCTACTGCAAAGCTTGAAAGATTTCCGGTTCAACGCAGGCGCGTCGAGGCACAGCTGGAAAGCTATCGCACTCGGAACGCAGCCCTCGAGGCCTGTTCACTCGTGCTTCTTGTAGCACTCATTACATGTCACTACTACGTTTTAAATGCCGACTTCTTTGCGTGTTTTGCCGTGCGTTTGGTCAGGGTGAGGTTGCAGGGCTGCGAGCAGAGGCGCAGGTACTCGGCCAGTTCCTTCAATTGAGATCATGCCTGCCGAGCTGTGCCTTCAGGCGGTAAAGCAAGGGCTCGATGCGGAGATTGAGAGGCGGTGGTGCATGCGAGTCCGCATGGCGACGGCGTTCGGCACACCTCTGCTTGCTAATGTGAGGCTTCGGCGAGAGCTTCAAAGCAAGGAGCTGTGGAATGCGCGCGGTCCCTGCTCATATGCATTGGCTGTAAAGCAGGACGCACAACTTCAAAGAGAGTTGGAGGTCAAGAAGCGTCAAATCACCTCGCTGGTGCTGCCATGTGTATTGCATGCGCGCTTGTGACCCTCGGGTGTGCGAGATGCTGTGCAACGGTTCCAAGAAGCACATTGACGTAGACCGCCAGTGCGAGAGAAAGCTGAAGGGGATTATGATTTCATGCGCAGCATGTGAGTCGCGTGTGAATGGCAGGAGCAGAACAAAGCTCTGCAGACAATATTGAGTTCATGCCGAGTATACCACCCAGCCATCCAAGATGGAGAATGCATGTGTGTTCTGCAAATGTCAACTCGCAGCAAGGCCATCCCTAGGGAGAGTGGCAGTGTGCAGCTGCCGACCGCAGTGGCCGGGACCTGGGTTCATGACTGTCTGCACAAGGGCCTGCACAGGCATGAGCTGAAAAAGACATGGTCCATTGATCTTCGGGCCTTCGTGTTGAAGACTTGTGGCATGTTTTCGCTAGCACCCACGGTGTCTCGCACTTAGGTTGCATTTTCGCACCCTGCTCCAACAGCTCGTCTCTGAGCCTGTGAGGGATGGTACTGTGATCTTCACACGTGCGGAAGAATTCGCTCAGGCTCCACTGTCGGCCAACAGCCCTGCCAACATGGCAACCCCACGGACTACACCTCCACAGGCGGACCCAGACCTTTCCGCCTCTGTCATAGCGACTCTGCCAGCAGCACAGGTCGCCGCACCACAAATTTACACCGCATCGCCCGGCTTGCAGCTCAGGCAGCTCAGAGGACTGACTATTTGGGACCTTGGTGCGCATTGTGTCTCGCTTCGCTGGGCATGTATGTTGGAGGGCCACGGTGAGTCTATGTGCGGTATGTGCAAGCTACTCGTAGGTTATAGCACCATGATGGCCGCACACCGTTGTTTCAGAACGATATCTTTGCCCATTTACTGCTGTTGCTCATATGCGAGATGTGCAACTCTGCCGAAAATGTGTTAATGCTTTTGATTGTTGAGTGTGTGCGCACCCGCTGGCTGTTTATGGCTTGCGCTAGCTCGTCCTGCGTCAGGAGAGCCAACCGCAGTGAGGTGCGGCCTTTTCAAGTCCGTAAGCCAGCCTTGCTGCTTTGTGCTGCAATGCAGCATACTGATGACTGCCTGAGTTTCGCGTCCAGCGCCAACACGGTCCAGCCTTTCGGAAGCTTGGCCTTTCAAAGGCTGACGCACCTCGGCTTGGTCTCTCGCTGCATGAGCTGACTGGCTGCACCAGTGATGTCCCACGAGGCCTCGTCAGGACTGGGCCTTAGAAGCAGAGATGTGTCGTTTACATAGCTTGGCTTCACCTCGTAAGCATGCCTGCTTTCGCAGGTTTGGACACACGCTCACACGCCAAATCACCCTGCGCACCCTTGAGCCCACAAGGCGCTAATGCCTTCGAGACTTGACTAGTGCTTCCTGCCAATATCAGCGATGTGCAATCACCCACATGGCGGATCTGGAATATCTGCTGTCAGCATGTGGTCACAGCATTTGCAGGCAATGCTGCCGATGTCAATACCGATGCATGGCTTAGAGGAGGACCCCTGTAGGTATTTTCCCGCGAAGCTCAAAGAAAATGCTTCGCAAGTGGATAGAGTTCGGGTAGATAGACTGCAGCTGTTTCAATGACGTTTCATCTCGACAAAACGCGTGCTGAGAAAGCGCCTCGGCTGCTTTTTGTGCCCGCAAGTGAAAGACTGGTCGGTGTGCTTGTCTTCCAGCTGTCAATGCTTCAGCAAACAATTAAGATGGGATGGTGTCGTGTTGGAAGGGGATACTATGCCTTGGCTTGAGTTGCCAGCTGAAGCAGTCGGGGTGCGATTGAGTTCAGATGCAAGTTAGTTTATCAAGTAGAACGCAGCGCCTTTCACGGTGCCATGGCCCCTCAAGGAAACCCTGGTGATGAGCCTTTGCTCCTTCTGCGTGACTCGCTGGTGGCTTTTCGAAGCGACCTAGAAGTTCTGTTCCAAGCCCAGCAGCGGCACAACAACACTCGCAGGCAACTGCAGGACCTTTACGTACGACTTCTCTGGACTCGTCAGAACACAGACCCCGAAACCACGAGCGCATCCACGAAAGTCGGAATTGCTGGTGTGGGTAAGCTGTCCGACTCACCCAACTCCAAGGGTGCCCGTGCCAAGAAGCATTCGATCAATCTCGAGAGCTTTGGTGGTGAGGATGGGCTTCGGAGTCTGGTCTTGCAGTTCCTGGCAAACGAGAAAGCAACACATCTGCGCCACGACAGCATCCAAGACATCTGGGCTGATGAGCTCTCCACTTCCTCAGCACGGGTCTCTGCTCTTATCAGAGATGGCATGCGCTCCGACTGCTGGCAGTTCGTGCTGGCAAAGGACGGCTCCAGGCTCGAGCATCCAAGCTTCGATTCTGTTGCATTGCTCTTGGTGCTCTTGGGTCCACGCATATCGCTGTTGCTTGAAGGTGGCAGATAATCCAGCAGAACAACTTGTCCGTCGTCCAGGCCAGAGTTCTGAGAGTCGTCAGAGGAAGGGTGGGCCCGGGATGGCTCATGTGACTGCTGCCTGCATCGAATAACGAGGAGTCCGTGGATCAACAAGTCCGCGGCTCGCCGTCCACAGAGAGCTCTGTCCTTGTGCAAGCTGGAGATCACTGGAGATCGCCTTGTTTTAGGGCATGTCCTCTTCATGGTTCAAGGAAGCACAGCCAATCAAAGGTTCTGGTAATTTAGCGGCGCCCGCATGCCATGTCTGTTGGATTGCTGCTCACGGCAAACGCAGTGCCCTGCGGGTCGCGGCTTAGTTTAAACGGGGCCGAAAATGAGAAGTCTACGATTTTTTCTGCTGTCCGGCAAAGGCATGCCAAGCGCCAGCATATTGGCTGGGACATCCGAGCAAAAAGGATGCTGAGCGAAGCACATCATGAGCCTCCATCATTATTTCAGCTCGCTGTGTTTGTGATCATGTCTGAATGTATGCCGCAGTGATTGCCGTCCTCGGCGTGACCCTTGCAACAGTGTGCTGAGGATCACAGCGTGCAAGACATGCACTTGTCTTCGACGTTCAAGAAGAACCGCAGGCATCTAAATGTCCTGCGCGACAAGCCTGTGCAGCTGGAGAGAATCTCAGCAGCATGAGAGTTACGCTCTGCTAGGCAGTAGTACTTCATAGCTAGTGCATCGCAAGTTGCGAGCATGCCAAATTCGCATGTTGCGAGGTGTCCAGAGACTCCAACAAACCAGGCTGACCCGGTCAACTGCATCAGGGGTCTTTCGCCCCAACAACACTAAATGCAGGGCCGCAGCACAGTTTAATTAGAAGGCAATCCAATCAGCGCAGAAAAGCACAGTGCCACGCAAAGAACAGCACTTCTGTCCTTCCCAAGAGCAAGGACGTGCCACATTTTCGGAAGAGCAGCTAGCCAGGGCCGGCTAGGACAGTGAGCAATGGGTGAGCAATGGGTTGCACGGAGGAGCCTCAATCGGCTGCATTGTGAATCCCACACGCACGAACGGCATCAGATTCTGACAGAAGGCAATGACTTCTCCTGCCAGCACGCGTTTTGTCCGCCTCCAACCGACTCCGATTGCAATGGGCAATCAGATCTGTTCCATGTAGGGGGCAGGGGAAGGGCTGCGAGCCATGGCTCTGACGATCCAGGTGACAGGTAGACGCAGGCGCATGTGAACATACCATTCATGTCCATTCCTTTTCGTTCTGACTCATTTGCTTAGAACGGAGTCCTCGGACCCTGCCTTTCAATGCTCGTGGATCCCCACCGACATCGCATGATCACGCCCGGGCAGCGCCAAGCCTGAGCCGACTCGCACGTGACTCACACCGGTGCTATTGATGTCACCTGCAGAGGAAAATGACCTAAGATTACAAACGGCAAGCGTGATTTCACGCTGGAGTAGCCTGGGCCCAATGTCGGAATCTGGCAACATCGTCCAAACCCTGTCAGCTTGGGTGTTTAGGCTGGTGGAGGCCAACAACGAAGGCTTTGTCCGGTTTTGGGTTTCCAGAGTGGTGAGGCGCCGGCTGTTGAGGGGGAGCGTAGAATGACAGGATATCCGTCCTGAGAGCTGTGATGCTGATGATGCTTCTCGAATCAGAAATCCGTCACTTCGCATTCTGGCTGTGCTGAGAATTGCGATTTCATCAAAGGCTTCGTCATGAGTCACAAGCTGCTGCATAGTTAGGATGCGCCTCCGAGCCGCACAGTGTGATGATAGCTGGCAGCGCAGCTTGGAGAAAAAGATTGAATTCATACGGGCTTTCATCTGCGATTTCCCCTACTTTCTCACGGTTTCAGTCAAGGCGAGCACAGCGCCCTTCAAGCCGGTTTGGGAGTTGAAGGAAGCCTTGCCGCCGCTGTTGCGCCTTGACTCTTCCGGAACCAAGGGATGGTACTCATCGAGCGAATTGTGATTCGCAGCAGGAAATACCAGATAGTCGCTTAATGTGTCTAACCTTCATCGAGGCCCACGTCATCAGTGACGTCACCGGCGTCTGCAGCTTTGTCACCCAACTCTCGTACAGAGCTGAGTTAGTTTGTCCATCGCACCTGAACTTTCAACGGGACAGAACGGATCGCTTGCATTTTTTGCAGATCATGCAAGGAGTTCATGATCCTTTGTCGTCGACAGTTTCTTTTTTACAAGAAGCTTCCTGACAGCAAGTCCGGTTTCTGGATGGTTGAAATTCTTTTCGCGATGCACTGCAAGTTCCAGGCAGTCTGTAGAAATCAGCATCAAGTTGCAAAGCTATGGAACCTACTCAGAGCTGAGCACATCGTGACATACCCCCGCATGCGTCCTTATAAAACACATCTCTCTTTGCCACGCATTCGCATACGGAGACATGCTACCGGCATTGAGTGTCGTTTCCTTCGTGCGGGTTTTCGCATCGGCCTGGACAACTTGCGAAGTCTCCAGCGATTGCCTGCAAGCCAGCTCAGTCTATCAAGAACGACTACTGCGGAGACCTTCAATGGAACACAAAGCATCTCGCTTGAAGGTTGCGGCTCGATGTGTGGGTTCCTGAATCGTATGTCCAGTTTGTGATATTTATCCAAGCCAGTATGTGAGAGCGAGGTGGTGCTACAAACGACGTCCAGATGGCGGATTCTGGATGAGATGATGTGCAACATCCGCAAGGGTAGCATCTTGACCAATTGAGAGCAGTTGAGATAATGCAGGATGCGGCCGACTGAACGGAGCCTGGCAAAGGGGGCTTCTTTTCGGTCTCATGACTCATGTATACATTGTCAGAACACTGCACAGGGGACGACAATATGCCACGCACATAGTCTTACTCCAGGTTCAAGGAGTCACTGTCTTTACTGGATCGGAGTCTACCATGGCAATGTGCATCACTGTGAGCTGAGGATGACCGAAAAACGGACACACAAGTGTGACAAGCACACTTTACATAGAGTTTAGCCTTGCTCCTGTTTAGGGAGGTAGCGAAAGCTGTCGACATTAGTGTCGAAGTTTGTGCATCCTCGTCCAGACTGTATCCACAACAGATTATCAGAAACTGCATTGCAATCTGAAAGTACATGGATCCGCGGGCGAGGGAATGTCAGCTGCATCCTAAAGGGATATGCAGCGTGCACAGACTTTGCTAGTCAATCGCTCTGGGGAACGAGGGCGGCACCTCAACTGCTTCTGCTGGACGATGGTGGGGCATGGTCGGGCTCGTTTCGCGGGCAGATGCCAGCATAGGGTTAATGACGGGTAGACAACCTCGCAGTTCTGACAAGGCTGGTGACCCTCAGGCACTGAAAGAAGCGCAGACCTCGGGGCCTCGGGTCGCTGTGCGGAAGCTGAGCCACGCCCTTCTGTGCCAGGCCATAGAGTTGATCGAGTCAGATCCCAGCAAAGGTCCCCTCGTGCAGACAAGGCTTGGACAAAAGCAGTGCCTTGAAGAGGTCACTCCTTTGCGGAACTGGCGAGCTGTTTGGGTGTTCCTCTCGGCATTGCATGTTGCTCTTGGCTTTAGTTCAGTTGATGCACCGAAAGGTCCGGAGCATACCGTCAGCGTACTTGGCGATGAGCTCCGCCCCCACGCTCTGCCAACAGATGTGCAGAACGGCCTGCTGCAAATAACGTGAAAGGATCGGTATGATCATTTGCACCCCAGGTACGATGTCAAGAAATTATACATCAAAGCCTTGAAGCTGGATACTTCGCAGTGTGCTTACAGCTTGAATGCTGTGGATATGAGATGCGGCCGACAGCCGCGGGTGTGTCATGTCCAGACGAGGCTCAGCGGTGCGAAGGAGCAGTTGGCGAAGTTGCTGCAGGACGACGGTCAGAATCGCCGTGGTCTTGGAGAGGGAAGAAACGAAGCCCTCATCAGGAAGGCGAAGAGGTGCGGATTCGTGGCAAAGCTCGGCCCTGACATTCAGATCCAAGACTCATCTGCCTGCTCCAGAACTGCGATGAGCATTAGCCGGCTGACCGCTGCCGCGGTGTTCAAGGGAGCTCTTGCCCAACAGCGATCTTCGTGAGTCCTGTCAGTTCCTTGATCTTCGCTGAGTGAAATCAGTGGAAAGCATTGCAAGGCAAGACTCAGCCGCAAAGCAGCCTCAGCCTGTCAAAGGGACTGCTTTCCAAATGGCAACAGCTTCGGCTGAGACTGCAGGAAGATAGCTATGGTTAGGATTCGGCCTCCGCCTGAGCACAGAAGTCCTTAGCGACGCAACAAGGCTGTTGTCCTAAGTCATGAGACATCAAGCCTTCGAGAAAAGTTACCTCTAGCCCGTGCTAGTACCGCTGTGCGGCTTGTCGACGTGTTCGACAGTTCAAAACTGGAAACTCTGTTGCAGGTCCATCGTGATTGCATGCATCTTGCACATTAGTGCTGCAGCTGCGGAGGTGTCACTGACTGGGTTTTGTGCAATTGGTGAAGAGTCGAGAATGCTTGAAGAGGACGGAAGCTGCTCTGCCGACAATGCGGCGGCAGGAGCAGCACTCAGTCCTCTGCGTCCATCACGCCGCTGCATCGTATTACCTTTTTGGGCTGTGCCTTGTCTCTGCACCACGCAGAGACCAATGTCGATACAAGGCTCCTGCATAATGGATGAGGCTTCCAAAATCGAGGAGGACGGGTTGTGCGTAATTTGGGCACTTCTGCGACGCCGGACAGCAACATCACATCAGGATATGGCGCGGCTGTGCCCGCTCTTGAGAGCCGGGTCGGCTTTCTACGCCTTTACTGGGCGTTTTCTGAGTCGAACAACAGGGACGATGTCCATGGCGCAGGGGCCCTGAGCTGCTGAGTGGGCATTGTCGGCATTGTGGCTTGTGCCGTAGCATCATAAAGTATTTTGTCGCATGAAACTTTTGTTCAGCGGCGGCGCGTTCATCGGCATGAGGTCTTTGTGGCCGCGAGGCAATGTCATGAGCGAAGCGACATTCGAGCCAAAGCCGGTGCTGCACCAGGTGTACATCCAGAGCTCTTCGCAGATGAGAGACCCACCTGCAGTCAGCAGTGCTGTGTCATGCATTGATCCAGAGATGCGAGATGCGACGAGGTACACCGTGTCTGTCCTGACAATCGTGGGCCGGATCCTTCTGGGGCTCTACAAAACCCGTGACAAGGCAAATCAGAAGCAGCGCATGGGAGCATGCGGTCGTGCGGGTGCATCAGAAGCACAGAACATGAACAAAGCAGACTTTTGCAAATGCTCAGTCCTACGTCAACATTCCAACGGCGATGCTCGACCATGACGAAGTCCTGGATGTCCGCAGCCATGGCTGTTCTTGACAGTTTGGGCCGCTGCATTGAGTGCACTGGGAAGGGGGCACATCACTGACAGGTCGAAAACATTCACGCACCTCTGTATGATGTTGATGGCAGTCCCAACTTCTATTGGTTTGAGGCTGGGTGCAAATGGCCTCCAACACTGACCTTTGAAGCGAGTGGTTTTGGCTTTCTTGTGACAGGCGATCTTTCCACAGTTCATCCTGAGGCGGGTCCCCTTGCAGTCAAAATGCCAAGATGCCATCTTTTGGTAGGAGATACAGGATATATGCATATCAAGGCGTTTCGCGGACCAGCTTCCCTGACAAAAACACCAGGAGGTTGTACGTGCCGTTGATGACTTGTTTCTACAGCGGCCTGCGGAAGATGAACACCGATGCCGAAGGACCCTGCTCGGTGCTGGAGTGATTTCGTACGGGGTTCAGGTTTCTTCCACAAGGTCTGGCGACAGCTGGTTTACTTGAAAGACTAATGAACGCAAAGTCAACCTGCAGTCAGGAAATATGGATGATGCGCTGGACGATCCGGCTTACAATACATGGGAAGCGGTCTTGAAGAACTCGAACATGAGCAAAAGAGACTGGGTGGAGTACCTAGTCATGATCTAGAATCTGGTGCGTTGTTTGGAGCGAACTGGTGAGGTCCTGAGCTTCTACGACATCGCACACACCTGGGATGGCAACCCCTTGTGGCCAAAGCAGATGACGGACTTCAGTGTCTACTTCAAGAAGGTTCCGAGCATGCCGAGCCTTCCTTCCCAGAATGCCCGACCAACTAGAACGCCAGGATGAGTGGGAGGATCAACTGGAGCGCGCCATTGCCTTCCACCTCATCGGCACACACAGGCCCACACCATGAAAGGCTTCAACCTGGCCTTTCGGACATGTTGGCGGGGGGGGGTGATTTCTTTTCGGGTTTAGCACATTCTGGTTTGTTTTTGGGGTGGCTGCTGTTTGGGCCAGGCTGGAAGCTGGCTCCTTCTCCGTGGATGTGCCGGGCATCGGCAGCATGAAGCTTCCCTACAGGAACCTCGGCTCAAAAGGGGCGTTGTGTGACGACGAGTCGCGCTTGGCTCAGAATTCTGTGGGCTCAATCCGTGTAAGCCGCTGGGAAGCTAGCGAGGGCCCCGCCCTCCGCCCCTGGACCGCCGCCGTGGCTGCTACTGGCCCTTTGCCCCGGCTTCTCGTGCCACCTGCCCTGGCTCTGCCCCGCCCTCCGCCCCTGGACTGGCCCTTGGCCCCTCTGGCTCTCCCTTGCCTTGCCCTGCCCTGGCCTGCCGCCTGCCCTGGCCTGCCCCGCCAGGCAACTTAAACTCTTCAACTATCAGACAACCGACACCCCAGGAATATGTACGAACCTAGTCTGAAGGCAGAAGTGGCCGTGTCTTTTCTGCCTTCTCCTTTACTAAGGTTCGGGCATGTGGAGCATACATGTCAGTAGTGAAGGATTCTGAACTTCTCGAAGTTCAGAGGTGGTGCTGCGAGATGCTGCGAGGCGACGCTGCGATTCTACACGGAACAGAGAAGGCTGCAAGGGCTCAACAGCCGTAGCCAACCGTAGCCAAGACCCGAAAGATCGCGTAGCGTGCGTTTGATGCTCGTACCGGGGATTCGTCTGAGACCTCAGGATAGCGCTGAACGTCTTCAGCGACCTGTCAGTACGGGATGGTTTTGGCAGATATGGCGTGGACTTGCATCTCGGCTTGCGTCCGAGACCTGACGTAGGCCCTAGTGCTTCTCTCCATGTTTCGTGATTGAGGTACTTCAATGAAGGCACCCTCCATGGCACCAGATTTGTTCCTTGAGATGCTCCGTCCAAGCATTCCTTGCCGTCACAAGACCACTGGAGACGGAATTAAGTCACCCACCTGCCGAGACGAGCTGCCCGTTCTTCTGGTGACCCCAGATAATCACACGGCCCCGCCCTGACTGGAATTTGCCGAGCTCGAGATGCGTCGAGATGAGGATCGAAAGGGCGCACTTCTGACGTCAGGTCGCGCGAGGAGATAAGCAGCATGGTACTCGGAGTGTTTTCGGCACGGGTAGCAATGGTCACCACAAGCTTGCCAGACTTGTTCCAAGGTGGCAGTACTGGAAGTTTGTGTGGAGAAGCACCTTAATCACAGGCCTCGGACTGCCTTGCTGGCTCCAGTCAAACACTGCGTCAAGCCATTTTAGAGGCATCACGCTGGTCGACCACCTTCACTTCACGCATTTCAGGCCCAACTGCGGGTCGGTGTTCGGATTGGAAGACCCCAACTCAACCGCTCGGGAGTCCGCGTTCCACTGCAGGACTGCGAGCTTGCTTTCGCGGGCCATTCGAGACTCGGCCACAAGTTGCTACCCCCACGTCCACATCACGTTACCACATGTAGGAGCCAATGCGTCCAGGAATCAAGCTGCCATCTGATCATCCCCAGCGGCGTCTTATGTCTATTTTTACATTTGGTTCCATTTTTGTCAACATCCAGGCCGGAGTTCACAGCTGAATAGCTTCGTTGCCAGCAATGCTTCCCAAAGTCCGCACCCAGCCAGAGTCGACACACAAGGCAACTCACGTGCTACTGGGCGCGGAGCTTATGTTGTCATCACCCTTTGGGCATGGCCCAGATGTTGGAAACGCAAAAACTGCAAGGTACAAATCATTTGCTTCACCGGGCTACCCCTTTCTCGCACTTTCTCAAGCTGAGCGGTGACCTCACGAGTGCACACATATGCCTGCGTGGCCAACTGAAAGCTTAAGGTCACAAAGTCCCGAAAATGCTTGATGATGTCACCGATGCGCCATCGATACAGGCATGCACTTCTCTGCGGCACTGTGGGGAACAAGCACTCAGCTTGAAATCACAGGCAATAGTGGAAGATGCAGTGTGGAATGAGAAGTACCTTGGAAGTTTGCTCAGCGCAAGCAGCAATCCTGTTCGTATCAATGTCACAGCCAAGGCTTTCTCCTAAGTTGCGGTCATTACCTTACTACGCTGATGGCCGACTTCTTTGGGAGACGATCAAGAAGTGTCTCGGAGTTCCACATTTCGAGGTCTGAAAGGTTTTGAGCCGATGCGGCATGCGCACGGAGTGCACCAGAACATGACATCTCAGGTTTATAACAGACATATTTCAGCGCCTTGACTTGTATACTGCCACATTTGGTGCCATCCAAGACCGTCTCCAGCAAGTCCGGTCTGTGTCCACTCAGTCGCGATGTGTTTCATTCCTGAGGAGAAGCAACGTATGCACGGTCAGATGCACAGATTCTGCAACGGGAGAATGGCATGCTGGGTCACTGGAAGGCTCGGTGGCCTCTCCTCCCCTGTGCAAAGGAGGAAGACGCTCTTCAACCGGCAATGGCAAACTTCGGGAAAGAGCTTCTGGCTGAGACCATCGAGGAGCCGCGTAGATCTGGCCATGCCCGAAGAGTGTCCTGCTTCATGACAGTGGCATGGATGAATGACTGCTGCGATGCAGAAAGCACGCGTACGTAATGATGATCTGCTCAGTCGCTATGGCATTTCTGGACAAGGACCTAGCGATACAACTAGCAGCACCAGTAGTACTAGTAGTTCTAGTAGTATTAGTAAGTAGTAGTAGTAGTAGTAGTAGTAGTAGTAGTAGTAAGAGCCGCAACAGCAGCAAGCAGTAGTAGTCGTAATGATTGTGATAGCTGTGGTGATAGTGGTAGCAGTGGCAGTAGTAGTCATTACTATCGTCGTTGTTGTGGTCGCGCTCGTGGTCGTAGTGGTGCTGGTCGTAGTGCCAGAAGAGCCGATGGTGGTGGTGGTCATGCTAGTGGAGGTGCAAGCGGTAGTGGTACTAATGGTAGTAGTAATACCAGCACTAGCAGTACCAGTAGGACTAGTGGTAGCAGTAGCAGTAGCAGTAGCAGTAGCAGTAGTAGTAGTTGTAGTAGTAGTAGTAGTAGTAGTAGTAGTGGTAGTGGTAGTAGCCTTTCTCAGCAAAAAGTAAAAGGCACAACTAAGCAACAAACACTTCTGGACTCCTGCAGCAGAAACACAAAGGTCAAGCGTCGCCCAGGAGCGCGCTAAGCGCGGCCCGGCGGTGCAGAAGGAAGATGAAGAGCACAAACAAAGAGAGGAGCGCCTTCGGGAGGATGAACGGTGCAGATATTAAACCTTCACTCAAGGGTTTATACGGCAAAGTTCGTTGGATAAATCCTAAGAAGCCCCAGGATGGGAAAGCGAAAGCTTCGGTTTAAGCGCCAGGTCTAGAACTTGGGCGTTTAAGGTTGCGAGTCCTCAAGTCCCAGAGTGTGCAGGAGAGGCTTCGTGTTTTCGCGCCAGGAGGCCTGGTCCTGGATGCGAAGACCGCCATGTCGCTCTGTTCTCCGGTACCGTCGGTAAGAACTACATACGCGGTACGACAAGTAGAGAACCGTATTTTAAGTCTTGTTATGAAGACATCCCATCTCGGGATGTGGTCATGGACAAACCTTGAGAAACTAGCTCTACAATGACACGCTCAATCTTGTGCTCCTGATGCCCTTCTAGGTCGTACTTCTACTACTTACATCATTGCAAACAGAAAGCCCGTATAAAACGAGACCGAAACAGTCTTTTCCCAAAGCCAATAATTCCTTAACACATGCAGCACAACAGAGTGCAGAATCTGCAAGGTCCCGCATAAAATGAGCCCCGAGCATAGGCCCCGAGGCCCCTCCAAGCGGCAGCCCGCAGCAAAGCAGCGAGGCGAGGGAGGTTCGGGAGCCCGGGCCCTTGCCGTGAGCTTTTGGATCTCTTGGCACTTTGGGTTTCGTTTTGCTTACGGGGGCTTACAGGGTTCACGGTTAGGGCCCTCGTCTTGCTATCGGCTGCTATCAGCAAGATCGCAAGGTGTGAGGGCTCGGGAGAAGAGAAGGGTTGCACGTGTTTTCAAGGGTTCGGGATCTAGAGGAAATGTTTCTCGTGCTTGAAGTGTTCCGAAGGCTAGAGAGCTCTGTACGTGGCTTGATTTTCTGGGCTGGGGGTTTCAACAGGTTTTGGATGTCGGTGTTATGTTGTTGAACTGTGCTCTCAGGGAGCGGGGTGCTGATTTCAAGCAACCTTTCTGTGTCTTGCTCTGTTTGCCAATGAGCGTGGCAGGCATCTTCGAGGTCTGCGGGGGTTCTTCCTCAAACGCTCGCCCAGCGCCACAAGCCCAAGCCGTCGCTCAACTCGCAGTCGGACTATTAGCCTAGGCAAGAAAACTCACACCAAAGACCCAAACCTCAATCCTCAAACCCGAGGTCTTTACTAAACTGCAGACGCAAAGCCCCAAACCCAACCCAACAATTGCCTAACAAATACAAGCCATCAGCTACGCCCAGGGCGTCGGATACATCCTGGCACACACATCTCATCATCATCATCATCATCATCATCATCTTCGTCATCATCTTCGTCATCATCTTCATCATCATCATCATCGCTGCCAGCCACGAGCACTCCTGCCGTTGCGCTGCTGCTGCTGCTGTTGCTGCTGGTGGTGCTACCAACACAGGAGGCGTCTCTCAGCGGGTCTCGAAATGTAGCAAGCTACAGGGGTAATCCACGAGAGGCATGTCAAGGCGAATCGTGCGCGAACCGACACATAAACAAATTCGGGTTCGCAGCGGATGCCTGCACAGGTTGCGCTGACTATGACGGCGACGATGACGAGGCTGATGTCGATGAGGATGATGATGATGATAATCAAAAATCACGGTGATTGTGACGATAGTGGTGCTGACGTCAGGTCGTGCTGGCTAATTATGACGGCGTCTATGCTGAGGCTGATGTTGATGATAATGATGGTAGTCACAGTGATAGTGATGATAATGTTGCTGAAGGCGATGGTGACAATCATGATGAAACTGTGCAATACACAAAGGATGGTTGTTGTAGATTCGCCGATTGGCTCATAGTCCTGCTGCTGTTTCTGTCCTTGACATTGCTACTGAAGTATTGCTGTTATTATGCATCGCTCTTTGCTTCAGTTTCGCTGCTGCTGCTGCTGCTGCTGGAAAGATGGACTTTCAACCCCAAACGTCACGATGGACTCCAACTGCACCTGGGTATCGTAGTGAATCCAAGGCAGTTTAAACCGTCCCGAGCACGAAATTCAAGCCAACGCCAAAGCCAGAAACCCAATACGCCGCAACCCTAAGGCTTGCTTATTAAGCCCAAAGCTTTACACACTTTTGCCTGGCTTGTCCACAGAAGCAAGTGCCGCTTCGGCTTCTTCCAGCCGCCCTGGAACGCCGAAACTTGCCCCGAATCCCGACGGCCAAAGCTTGTGGATTCGGGATCTTTTTGGTCCTAAAAGGAGAACGTTCACCAAGTGCAAAGGCCTACTACAACCCGACATGGATCCACATCTAGACCATGAGGAAAGGTCCCTAATCACGGGATTTGCAGAGAGCGAATCCAAATTCCGAAGCCTATGCTGTAGTTGCGTTCTTCTACGGGAACCGTGCTGTAGGATCGGGTTTGGGGGCGTTAGTAGTTGTTCAGACCTCTACAGTATGGGGGCTCGTCTCGTGGGTGCTTGCCGTGAGCCGCGAAGATTCAATCTTTCATTTTGGGGCTCAGGACTCTTGCTACATCCCGGATACCCTGAAGCGGCAAAATCCCACAACGCACCGTGGCCTTGCTTCGTGTAGATTTCTGCCAGGATGGTCTTGGCCTTGCTGTATGTCGGATCCTGAGCATCAAAGTGCAAGCTTGATTTTTGAAACTGCCAGACGCTGAGCTCTGCGATGCAAATTACAGGGAGTGGTGTGTTTGAAGCATCCCAGGCTCCGACACAGCCTCTAGATGGGTATGCCATTTCGGTTGTTGGATCCGGGATGCCGGCGATTTCGGAAGACGCGATGGCATCCTAGCAGCAATCTTTTGAAATGCACGCTGCAGCAACAGTAGCAGTCGTAGCACCAGTAGTCCTACTCGTAGTCATGGTAAGTGGAGCGAAAACCGACAAGATGGACACATGCAAACTCTCATCATTTTTAAAGCTTTTCAAACGGGAGCGACGGCACTCGTGCTTCTGCATAGACGCGAGAGAGTTGCCAGCCTTCTCCGCATCCGCGAAATCACCGGCTCCTAGTCGCGCCTCTCTTCGGCTTGTGGATTCAAGCTTGCAGCTTCAGGGTCTAAGGCTCCTGGGGCTGTTGGGGTTCAGGGTTATAAAACTGACTTCGGGGTTCAACCTGGCGTGTGTTGTTTAGGTTCTTACCGGTAGTCCGAGTCCGAAGCCCTGAACAAGCTCGCGTTACCCCGAACCCAAAACGCAACTCGGATCCACGCAGCCCCCATCCTAGCGCCCTTAAGCCATCCCCGCCCAACCGAACAGCCCCAATAACTTGACCGAAGCTCCGCACTTGCGAGAATACCAACGGCCTTCGCACGGTTGAGGCGCGTGAGCGCCAGCTCACGCTTGCGGGCGCTCTGTGCCACTTCTGCATCCTGTAGAAACGATGCATGGTGATAATTTGGTTTTGCACAAGTGGTAGTTGTATAGCAGTGGGAGGAGGAGTAGGAGCAGTAGCAGTAGCAGTAGCAGTAGCAGTAGCAGTAGCAGTAGCAGTAGCAGTAGGAGTAGTAGTAGCAGTAGCAGTAGCAGTAGTAGTACTAGTAGTACTAGTAGTAGCAGTAGGAGTAGGAGTAGGAGTAGGAGTAGTAGTAGTAGTAGTAGTAGTAGTAGTGGTAGTAGTAG